CAGAGAAAAATGAATTCTTTACATCCACCAGCAGAAGATGTTAGACAGGTACTCACACCTGAAACACGTTTTTTTCAGGAAAGGCATTTGAAGAACGAAGTCAAATGGAGGTGATAAGAGATGAAGTGCCAAGACTAACTGACAAATTAAAAATTAACAAGTCACTAGGCTTGGATGGAATATATCTGAGAGCTTCTGAAGAACTCGAGTGTGAAATTGTTGCTCTAGCAAAAATAGGGAACCTGTCATTAAATTGGTCTCCTTACCAGAGGATTGGACGGTAGCAAGGGTAATATAAATTTTTAAAAAGGTATTCAGATGAAACTTAGAAATTACAGGCCCATAAGTCCGACTTCTGACACTGCTAAGTTGTTGGAAAGCATTATTGAAGCTAAATTGTTCAACGTGCAGAAAAAACAAGTATTGATGTGGAAGAGTCAGCATGATTTCTGCAAATGAAAGTCCAGCCTCACTGGTTCTTTAAGAATGTCAAAAAGAATGGTAGACATTATAAGCTTAGAAGCAAAACCTTCTGACAAAAAGTTTAGCAGTCGTTGGATAAAAAGGCAAGCCTTCTTGTGGATTGATCATTGGTTAAATAATATTAAGAAGAGGGTAGAAATAAAGATATTTTTTTACAATGGAGTGAAATAACCAGTGGGCTCCCCTAATAATTTATACTGTATATACAGTCAGAATTTAAGTCTTGACAGATCTTTGATTGACACTTGGGGATTTATTTTTGCTGTAACATGTGGCTTGACAATCACTCATAAAAACTATTTGCAAGAAACCTGAATGTGAACCCTAGAGAGAAATAACATTCAATGCTTTGTTACTCAAATTATTGTGCAAGATCAAAGAATTGTTTACTTCATATTCTTGAGCCTCAGAATATGATATTTCTAAACTAAAGCACACAAGCCTTTAGCAGAGAAGAAAGTCAAATTCATATTTGCAGATTTGAATATTGAGATGCATTCTTAGCAGGAAAAAAGTATTAAAAAATCACAAACTGTCCTTCACTGCCTGTACTTGGATTTACATTTAATAAATCCACAAAGAGCTTAGAGATTGCTGCCTTATACACTACTGTTTTGTGGTGTGTCATTTAGCTCTCAGATTAGGTTTTACTTAGCCTGTTTAAAACATGGGTTAAAAAATTAATAATTTTGAAAATAAAGAATAGTGGTTGGACACAACTAAATATTCAAAACAGGAACTGTCCTTCAATATTATGCATAGTTCAGTGGAAACTTCAAAGGCAGTCTCAAGTGTAAAAAAGAAGCAGGTGAAGATTTTCCTGATGTGAAATGTAATTGACTTGGGAGAGAGGTTCCCCTATTTAATTTTGGTGTGTTAAGACCTTATGTGGCATTCTTCAGGGCACAGGGTAGCCACTGACATGAGTCCTCCACCAAGTCTTTCTTCCCCAGTTAACTTCCAGTAAAAGAAACAAATAACATCATGCAATGAGGGTAAATGTTTATCTGGTCTGATCTCCAGTTTATTGGCTCTTGCCTGAATACGATACACTGGAGACAAGAATGCTACACAGGACACAGGTTGGTTGGTTTTCAAACCCAAGATGTGGGAAGGTTGATTGGTGGCAACAATGCACCTCAGATCATGTCTACTTAGGCTGCTGTTATAAAAGACATATAGGAAGTTTCCTTAAAGGTAAAGGTAAAGGGACCCCTGACCATTAGGTCCAGTCGTGGCCGACTCTGGGGTTGCAGCGCTCATCTTGCTTTATTGGCCAAGGGAGCCGGCGTACAGCTTCCAGGTCATGTGGCCAGCATGACTAAGCCGCTTCTGGCGAACCAGAGCAGCGCACTGGTTGGAGCAGTACCTATTTATCTACCGCTGGAGCAGTACCTATTTATCTACTTGCACTTTGACGTGCTTTCGAACTGCTAGGTTGGCTGCTAGGCTGCTGTTGTAAAAGGCATATAGGAAGTTTCCTTAGACTGAGTCAAACCACTGGCTTAGTGTTGTCTGTACTGACTGGAAGTGGCTCTACAAAGTTTCAGGAAGGAGTATTTCCCAGACTTAGCTGGAGATCCTGGGGACTGAACCTGGGATCGAACCTTCGGCATGCACAGCAGATCCTGTACTACTGAGCTGCAGCTCAGGAACAGTACTGAAGCTGGCAAATCCTATCCATAGATTATGTGGATCTAATGATTTGGCCACTGGAATCTATGCTTCAAGTAGAATTGTTTTGTTTTTAATGGGTGTCTTGACTATAGGGTGTCTTGACTTTAAGAACTGCCACAGGGTTAATACAGTAGGTGCAAAATCCCTTCAAAAGAATACACACACGCACGCACGCACGCACGCACACACACAAACACACGAGTAGGATTCCACCCCCTTGGTAAGTGGTAAGAGAATAGTGGTTGGAGCAGACTGCTGAGCAGAGTTGTAAACTTCCCAATACCCTCCATTTTCAAAGAATGATAAATTGCCTTTCTAAAAACGAACTACTTGCTAAATGTGAAATAAAGCAGTTCAGCTATATTGAGCCATATATGTTCAATATGTATCATCTGTTCAGCAGCACATGGCAATTATTGGAGGAAATCCTGTCTCATAAAGATGTCAGATGTGGCGTCCTTTTAGACCTCAGAATTTATTGCCCTGAGTACAAGAATATTAGGTCTATTCTTGGATATTTAATGAGAACATCAGTCATACCTTGAGGCCATATGATATTTCACCTTCATCCTGCAATTTCCAAGTTTTAAAATTCAATGCATTTGGTCTCTTCCAGTAGGTTGAGCGCAAGGATAAGACAATGTGATTTATTCTTGGTGATGTTGGACCCAACTCCCAAAGGCACCAGACAGCTTGGTGAGGGTCGGCAAGAGTCTTAAGGGGTGGTGGAAGGTGACTAGCCTTGTTTTAACATCATAAACTTCTTCGTTTAACTTAGCAGTCTGCTTGTAACATGGCAAAATAAGGGTTTTTCGCATTGGTACACAAGGCAGCTACAAAGAAGTTGCAGGATAAACCCATTGTCAAGACTGGATTAGAAGACTGAATGCAGTGACAGAAACAGGACTCATGGTTACAAGGGCAAGAGCCAAAAATGGAGTAGTGATAGAATCAGGAATAAAAAATATGCAGGCCAGGATACTTTCTGTCTTTGACTACTGGAAGTGGAAAGCTTGCCAAGACTAACCTTGCATGACCCAGCAAAACAAACAGGAGTGGAGGAAGGGGGCGGTGGGGGTGGGCTGTCCCGGGTGTCACCACTGAGGTGGGGGTGACAAAATGCTGGGCGGCACTCACCACTCGCCACCGTGTTACTCCCAGGAGAGACGCATGGCTCAGGCACACTGCAGGCCCAGAGCTGCCCTAAACTGCCTGCCCGCTACCCCCCCCTCAGCTGCAGGGTGGCTGAGTGAAAGGAAGCAGGCAGACTCTTTGGAGGCCCCATGGAGCGTCCTGCCCCGGCTTGCCCCACCCCCGCAAGCGGTTGCCCCCGCCCCGGGCACAGGACATGCATGCCGCCCCAGGCACCCAATCGGCTTGCTCCGCCGCTGAATACAAATAATATATTTTTTTCTGTGTGTTGGTTTGGCTTGAGGATGGAAACTCCTCTTGAATGAATGCATGAAATCATGATGAATAATTTCCAAGGCTTGTAATTTAGATTTGTTATCATGAATCAGTAATTATTTTTTAAAATAATATTATGAATCATCTTAAAAGGTAGCCTTTTTTGTTTTGGTGTGCTTGCAGTTATTTCTGAAGTTCATGCACATCTGCACACCAGGCCTTTTTTCAGGGGGAACTCACAGGAACTCAGTTCTGGCACCTCTCTGCTGGGTTTCAGCCTCTCTCCGGTGGGTGTCATTGCCTTTCTAAGAGAATGAGGGAGGTGTTCATGGTGAGTTCCGGCACCTGTTTTTTCTAGGGAAATAGCACTGCTGCGTACCATTAGGCTAATAGTTCACATCTGAAACCAGAGGAGGGGTGGCTAATCTGCAAGTTGGATACATTCCACCAAGAGGCTTGAAGTGGGCCACAGAATGAGAGTGAATGGGATGGGGAAGGAAAGATAGAGAGCAGGCAGAAGAGGAGAGAAGGGGAACTGTCAATCCATCTGCTGTATTCCACTTGGTGTGTCAGTCCTTCCTCTCTCTCGTGTGTGTGTGTCTTTGTGTATGTGTGTCTGCACATGCTTGAAAGAGCGACCAACCCACAATGTAAATTTGGGCCAAAAGAGAGCCATCTAATTTAGCACAGTGCATTTTACTTGTACTTAGTAAACACATTAGGTGGAATTCAATGTAGCGCTCTTCAATCATTCTAGCTTGCCAGATGGAATGATGCCCCCACCCCCCTGCATGCTGCTCTGGGAGTTTTTCTGACCCCCCCCCCGAGCCAATTGTGTGTGAGAGAGAGAGAGGAAAAGGGTGGGGAGGGGGACACAAGCAGTTGTCTTTGCACAAAGCTTCCACTGATGGGACTGGTTAGATGAAGCCTGCCCATTGAAACTTCCATACTTTCTGAATCTACTTTACTTGGGCAACTTGAATTTTCTGGTGTGTGCTTGATGCCTTCAGAATAGTAACAGTTTGGAAAGATCCTTTGATTTTAGTCTGTTTCCTGCCATTCTGTAATTTTGAAATAAACTCTATTGTTTTCAGTGGGGCTTACTTCCTGATTAATGCGCTGCAACCTGAATACTTTATGCTTTTAAATTTGTTAGGAAAAAAACCCTTTAAAACACCCACTTTGAGAGTCTTTGACTGAGAAGCAGGATAAAAGTGTTTTATTAAATTTATAAAATGAAAACTGCATCAGATTGGCATTTTCTTTCATCAGCTTAAACAAGCATCAGAGACTTGACGCAATCCTATGAGTTTCTTCATTCGGATATCACTGAACAAACGATTGTCATGAGAACACTGAAACTAAATGCTCATTTTATGGGGAAAGAGAAGGCTAATGAGAAATAATGCAGCCAAGATTTGGATCATTAGGTGCAGGTGTCAGCAGGTGCCTCAAAACTAGAAATAATCTGGGAGGGGAGAAGGAGGGGGGAATCTAAACATTGGTCTAACAGCGATTGAGAAGAATGTAGGCAGAAATCTACCGAATTACTTTTACGAGGTTAATAAATAAAATTTGCAGGACAGCTTGTAATTGGCAGTAAAGGAGATTCCAGAATAGAACACGGAACATTGCTTGACCTTCCCAGTGGGAGGAGTGATAACAGAATCATAAATAGCAGCTAATGCTGGAATACAGTTCAAAGTGTGGGCCATGTACTTGTATTGGATGAACTGGATGTAAATCCAAAAGCACGACAGTTTCAGAAGAGTAGAAAAGCCTACATCTCTATCCAAGCATGGACCTAAATCAACCGTTGCATCCAAGGTATAAAAAACGCCCCCAGCATTTTGAGAAGGCATCTGTTGTGCTAGGATTTGTGTAGGGGACCTTTGGTTGCTAAAATACAGCTCCCATCATCCTTGGCCATGCTTGCTGGGACTGATGGGAGTTTTAGTTCATCATTGTCTGGAGGGCCAAAGGTTCCTCACCCCTGCACTAGTAGGGTGACAAGGCACTTTAATCCACTTTGATTGCGGAAACCTAAATTTGTACTCTGCCCTCGAATCTGGTGTGCAAAGCAGCATGGCAGGAATCCAGAAAACTGATAATAAAGTTTAGTTGTGCCTCACAACTAAATTTTGTTGGTGGGATTCAAGTCCAGAACTGCAGATCAAGGCCAGATATAATCTCCTGAGACCGAACCCATGACATGATCAACAGTCTAAAGATTTGGCAACCAAGCCAGAACCAGGACAATCATCAGATGAGGCCCATTCCAGCTTTCCAGGATGGTCCGTTATGCAGGAAAGCAAATTCTATCAGTAAGGCAAACAACTCTGGTGAGGCAAGCAGGGCTCTAGAATCATAGAATCATAGAATCATAGAGTTGGAAGAGACCACAAGGGCCATCGAGTCCAACCCCTTGCCAAGCAGGAAACACCATCAGAGCACTCCTGACATATGGTTGTCAAGCCTCTGTTTAAAGACCTCCAAAGAAGGAGACTCCACCACACTCCTTGGCAGCAAATTCCACTGTCGAACAGCTCTTACTGTCAGGAAGTTCTTCCTAATGTTTAGGTGGAATCTTCTTTCTTGTAGTTTGGATCCATTGCTCCGTGTCCGCTTCTCTGGAGCAGCAGAAAACAACCTTTCTCCCTCCTCTATGTGACATCCTTTTATATATTTGAACATGGCTATCATATCACCCCTTAACCTCCTCTTCTCCAGGCTAAACATGCCCAGCTCTCTTAGCCGTTCCTCATAAGGCATCGTTTCCAGGCCTTTGACCATTTTGGTTGCCCTCCTCTGGACACGTTCCAGTTTGTCAGTGTCCTTCTTGAACTGTGGTGCCCAGAACTGGACACAGTACTCCAGGTGAGGTCTGACCAGAGCAGAATACAGTGGCACTATTACTTCCCTTGATCTAGATGCTATACTCCTATTGATGCAGCCCAGAATTGCATTGGCTTTTTAGCTGCCGCGTCACACTGTTGGCTCATGTCAAGTTTGTGGTCAACCAAGACTCCTAGATCCTTTTCACATGTACTGCTCTCAAGCCAGGTGTCCCCATCTTGTATTTGTGCCTCTCATTTTTTTGCCCAAGTGCAATACTTTACATTTCTCCCTGTTAAAATTCATCTTGTTTGTTTTGGCCCAGTTCTCTAATCTGTCAAGGTCGTTTTGAAGTGTGATCCTGTCCTCTGGGGTGTTAGCCACCCCTCCCAATTTGGTGTCATCTGCAAATTTGATCAGGATGCCCTTGAGTCCATCATCCAAGTCGTTGATAAAGATGTTGAATAAGACCGGGCCCAAGACAGAACCCTGTGGCACCCCACTAGTCACTCTTCTCCAGGATGAAGAGGAACCATTGATGAGCACCCTTTGGGTCCGGTCAGTCAGCCAGTTACAAATCCACTGAGTGGTAGCATAGTCAAGACCACATTTTACCAGCTTCTTTACAAGAATATCATGAGGCACCTTGTCAAATGCCTTGCTGAAATCAAGGTAGGCTACATCCACTGCGTTCCCTTCATCTACCAGGCTTGTAATTCTGTCAAAAAACGAGATCAGGTTAGTCTGACATGACTTATTTTTCAGAAATCCATGCTGACTACTGGTGATCACAGCATTCCTTTCTAGATGCTCACAGACTGTTTGCTTAATGATCTGCTCCAGAATCTTCCCTGGTATTGATGTCAGACTGACTGGGCGGTAATTATTTGGGTCCTCTCTTTCCCCCTTTTGAAAATAGGGACAACATTTGCCCTCCTCCAGTCTGCCGGGACTTCGCCTGTTCTCCAGGAATTCTCAAAGATGACTGCCAGTGGTTCTGAGATCACATCTGCCAGTTCTTTTAATACTCTTGGATGCAGTTCATCTGGCCCTGGAGACTTGAATACATCTAAACTAGCCAAGTATTCTTGTACTATCTCCTTAGTTATTCTGGGCTGTGTTTCCTTTGCTGAATCATTTGCTCCAAATTCTTCAGGTCGGGCATTGTTTTCTTTATCGGAGAAGACTGAGGCAAAGAAGGCATTGAGGAGTTCAGCTCTTTCTGTGTCCCCTGTTTGCATTTCACCATCTTCTCCTCTGAGTGACCCCACTGTTTCTTTGTTCTTCCTTTTGCTACGGACATACCCATAAAAGCCTTCTTTGTTGCTTTTAACCTCTCTAGCAAGCCTGAGTTCATTCTGTGCTTTAGCTTTTCTGACTTTGTGTCTACACGTGCTGGCTATTTGTTTGAATTCCTCTTTGGTGGTTTCCCCCCTTTTCCATTTTTTGTTAATCTTTAATCTCTAGGAATCAGGGAAGAATGGAGAGTCAGACCAGAACAACCAAGAGGCCTTAACTGACCTTAAAAGCCCTGTATGGCTCAGGATCCCAATAACTTTCAGAGTTCCTCTCCTGATATGAGCCTACCTGGACCCTTCATCTGAGGCTCTCCTCTGGGTGTCCCCTCAGAAGGAGGTTCAGAAGGTGGCTTCTTCACTTGTGGAATTCTCTCCCCAATGAGGTCCACTCCATCACTGACATCTTTTGTGCACCAGCTGAGATCCTATCTTTTCTCCCAGGTGTTTGACAGATCATGATCAATGTTCTCCTCTTTGCTTGATAACTGCTTGCTGATGCTGAAGTTCTGCTGTTTAAGCAGCTCCAGGAGATGTTCCTTGTCCTCCTCTGGCTCCAGCTTTCCGGCAGTAAATCCAGCACCTTCATGGCTAGTCCAGCTCTGTTGACCTCACCACACAAGCTCCCTAAGCCTCACAGTACAGGCTCCTAGCAATCTTTGGCATCACCTTGCCACTGCCAGCCCTTGACTCAGGAACCATACTCTAAAAAATGCTCAAAAACTCCAAAAAATAATTGGGTCCATAACCTGATGGATAGCGTCTTGCAACCAACCAATCAACCAACCAACCAACCAACCAACCAACCAACAAACAAACAAACACCATGCAGAGTCAAAGGTCCAAAAGGGGAAAAAAAACTTTTACTAAAAGGCAAAGGCTTGTTACAAAAAACTTCAGAAAAAACGTCAGACACATGAAGTACAAACGAAAGTAAGAGAGAGCGAGAGAGCAGCTTGCTGAGCGCAGGAACTTATCTCTCCTGACTCAGTGTGACCTTGAGATAGTCAAAACAATATTTGCATCAGAAATGAACCTTCTAGAATCTTCCAGAATCTTCTAGCGCTTTCCAGTTTTTGCCCTCAAAGACTTTAGTCATGACAAGTTTATGGGTCACTGTAAATGGTTTTACTGCAATGGCTTCTCTTTGTTTCTATGTAAATTCTTTTGGCTGTTAATTTTTGTAAGTTGCTTTGTAGTGAGCAAATAATTAAGTCAAAAAAATAATAATGAGCCCCATTCCCCAAGAGTTTGAGAATTCTGAGGTAAAGCTGGCTAGAGTTTGCCCAGAGAATACTTCTGTCAGATTTCCTCAGGCATGAACAGCAAATTGGAGCAGATTCTTCTGAACTTGCACCCGCTGCCTTGGCCATTTATCTGCTTCTGGACTCAGTTAAAGTTGCACTGGAAATGAAGTGTCTACATACGGTGCCAAATCCATTGTGTTCTTAACAGTTGCTGTGGGGAGATGGAGGGAGAACAAGATTACCTCTGAAATACACATGCTGTCAAGGCTTTCACTCAACACTTGAGTAAACAACACTTAAAATGCTGTTTTAGGATTGGATATAAAGAGCTCTCTTTGTTGTTGTCATTGTTCTGATTAATTCACATTCAAGGTGAAATTCATATTTACTCAAGGATTGAAGGCAGAGGATATCATAGATATGTGAGAGACGAAGCCCTGTTTATAAGGATTGTAGGACTGGTGTGTGTTTGTGTGTTCCATAAGAATCCAGAATTAATTTACTTCCAAGACTTCTAAAATTGTATGCTAAAACTGCCTGGCTTCTTTAACAAGAATATAAAAAACCTGCAGTGAAAAAATTCCAAGCTATCACCCATCATTTCTTCTGATCCCCGTTTCTACCTCACAGGTTGCACCTGAAAATATTTGTCTTAAATGCTCAATAACAATCTAGAAAGAGGAATTTAAAAAAAAATACATGATAGCATAATAATTATAATACATAATCATAGAAAACTTTAAATAAACGAGTAGCCTAAAGTTTATTCCATAGTGGAATACAAGGTTCATATTTATACAAATCATATCAAATAATCATGAGTGTTGCCAAATAAACTCATATTTAGTAGCAGTGTGTCCACCATGAGTTTGTTTGGTCATATAAAGTCTGCCTGTAGAGAAGGGCAGGTCATTGGTTTTAATACCTGGCCAGTCACTGAAGACAAAACTGAGCTGGGAACAATATCTTCACTTAGTATAATGCAGTTTCCTATGTTCCATGGTGGTTAGGGCTGGTGGGCGCCAGGTTGACTATCCCTGCTCTGGCATAATAAGGGAACAGATGACAATCTACAGCCTCCCTCCTCCCCCAACATCAGTATACTCAGCACCTCACTCGGTTAGACACTGGCTTCTTTAGGGACTGTTTGCACACACTTTTAAGCATATTTACTCAAGTCCTTTTCTTCTTTGTTCTCCCCCTTCAAGATCATCGTTGGAGAAACTGCAGTGTTTTGCTTACAGATGGCCACGCGGGATTTTGAAAACCAAGAAAAAACAATATTAACCGGAGACTGTTGCTATATAAACCCACTGGTGCGCAGGACTGTCAGATTTCTTGGTAAGACTATCATGCATTCTTTCCAGATCTTCATGTGTCACACAGGCTGTCTACCTGTCAATCATCCATTTTTGTTTAAAGGCATGTGCCCTGACGCAGCACTTTCAAAGCCCTGATGATCAGTGGATTCTCAACGCTTGCAAAGTACTGTGTATAGGGTATTGCAGCTGATGCCAGTCAGCGGTGCCTGCAAACCCCATTTAGTCCAGTTGGTTTTTCACCTGCCTCACATGTATATGATGCCCAGTGCAGGGCAGGTGAGTGTGGCTTCACCAAAACAATTTTGTGGGCCAAATGAGGAGGCCTGGTGGGATGAATTAGGCTTGCAGGTCAGAGGTTCTCTGCTGCTTCCTTTGAGGTTTTTGTGCTCTTTCAGGATGAAATTCTGTTGCTAAATCATCTACACCAAACTAGTCTTCAAAAACTTCTTACTTTGTTACATCAGACAACCTAGAATTTCATAACTCTTACATTATTATTGATGGGACGTGGGTGGCGCTGTGGGTTAAACCACTGAGCCTAGGACTTGCTGTTCAGAAGGTTGGCGGTTCGAATCCCTGTGATGGGGTGAGCTCCCGTTGCTCGGTCCCTGCTCCTGTCAACCTAGCAGTTCGAAAGCACATCAAGTGCAAGTAGATAAATAGGTACCACTCCGGCGGGAAGGTAAACAGCGTTTCTGTGCACTGCTCTGGTTTGCCAGAAGCGGCTTAGTCATGCTGGCCACATGACCCGGAAGCTGTATGCTGGCTCCCTTGGCCAGTAAAGTGAGATGAGTGCCGCAACCTCAGAGTTGGTCACGACTGGACCTAATGGTCAGGGGTCTCTTTACCTTTTTACATTATTATTAGTGAGCACCATGTGCAAAGACATGGTCAGCCTTCCGTGCAGATTTGTCCTGTTCTCTTGAGATGCCCACTAGAGTGATGTAAAGCAAAGACAATGCCAGTCTTCACCCTAGATCAGGGTTTTCCAAACTTGGGTCTCCAGTTTTTGGACTACAACTCCCATCATCCCTAGCTAGCAGGACCAGTGGTCAGGGATGATGGGAATTGTAGTTCAAAAAACAGCTGGATACCCTGGTTTGGGAAAACTTTTCCTAAATGGTGGTTTTTGCCAACCTGTTACTCACCAGATGTTTTGGACTACAACTCCCATCAGTCACCCAAAATCTCTGGAGAGCAACAACCTGGTGAAGAATGACCTATGGTAATACTTTCCCCTCACGTTAATATTCATCTTGAGAACTACAAGGAAGCAAATAAATAAATAAAAATAGGATGCTGCACACCATAGTCCTATAAATCCCAAAACATAAAAATATGCAACAGTGAAAAGGAATCCCTACAAAAAGTGTAATTTTGAGGCATCTGAGAGAATGTTTTTTTTGTTGTTCCTGAAAAGCTTTTCAGAATATTTTAAAAGAGAGGCAGTGATTTTCAACTTGGTATTCCCAGACAGGTTTCTAAGGAACTTGATGAAACCCCCCTGAAAGAATTCGTCACATGATAATGCATCTGCTTTTTCTTTTCAGTAATGAGATGAATACATCTGTACTTGATGAACAATAAAGACCCAGGGCCTAATACATGCAGCTTTGATAATAAAAGATTCAAAATAAACATTCCTCAGTTTTGCTAACGTTTGGTGGGAGGAAGGACAAAAACGCACCTAATGATGGAGCTGCTTCCTCTAAGGGAAATGATTACCAACATTTCCCCCATTTCATATATTTTCCCAAGCTTTCTTTGCCTTGCAGAGATTCTAGGACTTTATGTAAGCTATGCTAAAAAACAAACAAAAACAAAGTTCTCTCTTGGATTGCTGTGCCTCTAACTAGCTAGGACAATGCAAATATACAATACTTCCAACAATACCCAAACTATATCTTCTTTCTTCTTTGGCGATCACTCGTAACCGAGCAAGATTGTCTTCCACAAACAAGGTTTTAACAATGAGTCCGTAAGTGACTGTGGAGGCCAATTCTGGATCCACATGTCCTTCCACAGTGGGGATATTGGTTTCTGGGCAGGAGTTGATCACAGTGTGGATTTGCTAAGCGTGCCTTCCTCTTAGCACGTTTCTCCTTTGCGTCCTGAGTTTGAGCGTCTTCAAAGCCCATGACACCTTCGGTAAAGGCTGTTCTCCAACTGGAGTGCTCGCAGGCCAGTTTTTCCCAGTTGTCAGTGATTATTGACCCGACTAAGGCTTTCAACATTGTAAATCGTAATGCCCTGTGGACTGTCCTTCTGAAAATTGGCTGCCCAGATAAATTTGTAAACATCATTCGGCTCCTCCATGATAATATGACAGCAACCATCGCAGATAACAATGTCTCTCAAAGTGAACCATTCACAGTGGGATCAGGTGTTAAACAGGGTCGTGTTATTGCCCCAACTCTATTCATTATTTTCATTGCCATGATCCTACACTTTGTCGAAGGGAAACTCCCCACTGGAGTAGAAATCATATATCGAACATATGGAAAGCTCTTCAATCTGAGCAGGCTGAGTAAGAGTAAGGTTACCAGTTACAGGTAGGTAGCCGTGTTGGTCTGCCGTAGTCAAAACAAAATAAAAAAATTCCTTCCAGTAGCACCTTAGAGACCAACTAAGTTTGTTATTGGTATGAGATTTCGTGTGCGTGCAAGAAGAAGAAGTGTGCATACACACGAAAGCTCATACCAATAAGAAACTTAGTTGGTCTCTAAGGTGCTACTGGAAGGAATTTTTTTATTTTGTTTCGGGTAAGGTTACTGTAACTTCCATCATAGAGCTTCAGTATGCTGATGACAATGTAGTGTTCACACGCTCAGAGGATGACCTCCAAACCATCCTAAATACCCAAACTATGTATTAGCATCGTTATTGCTCATGCATTCTGGATGGTATTTTAATGGAGAAATTGCCATTGCTGTTTGAAGTAACGTTTGGTCAGCATTCCAGATTATGAACTCTTCCTTTTCCTCTTCCTTTTCTCCAGGCATTTATGCATTTGGACTTTTTGCAACGGACATCTTTGTAAATGCCGGACAAGTGGTGACTGGGAATCTTGCGCCACATTTTATTGCACTTTGCAAACCCAACTACACCGCTCTTGGATGCCAGCAATTTACGCAGTTCATCAGTGGTGCAGAGGCTTGCTCTGGAAACCCAGATCTTATCATGAAAGCCAGAAAAACATTTCCTTCCAAAGAGGCAGCTCTGAGTATATATGCAGCGACATATTTGGCCGTAAGTAAAGTAGACAGCCTCGTTCTGTGATGCCTCGGCTGCTTCTTGAGCAACTACCGTATCTTGTTCTTCCTAGTTTATTTAAACTTGCTCTGCCTTAACACACATGCCTCATGGGTCAGGGGTGTACTGTGGGAGGTGCCAGGGGAGCCGTGGCCTCGGGTGCACAATTGGGGGGACATGAACACAGCGCCCCCCAGCACAGCCTGGACCAATGCTCCTCTCTCAGTTGGCTGGCCGGGCTGCCCATTGCTCGGGTGGGCAGCTGGCTCAGTGCAGCCCTATTTTGCTCTTATGGGGGCAAGCAGTGAGGGTTGGGCTGCTACCCTCCTGGCACATGCACCCACTCGCCCCGGGACACAGCAACCAACACTACGCCACTGGTCAGTTTTGCATTTCTTAAAAGTATGAAGACGCGGGTGGTGCTGTGGGTTAAACCACAGAGCCTAGGACCTGCCAATCAGAAGGTTGGCGGTTTGAATCCCCGCGACGGGGTGAGCTCCCGTTGCTTGGTCCCAGCTCCTGCCTACCTAGCAGTTTGAAAGCACATCAAAGTGCAAGTAGATAAATAGGTGCCGCTCTGGCGGGAAGGTAAACGCCGTTTCCGTTCGCCAGAAGCGGCTTAGTCATGCTGGCCACATGACCCGGAAGCTGTGCACTGGCCCCCTTGGCCAATAAAGCGAGATGAGCGGCACAACCCCAGAGTCGGCCATGGCTGGACCTAATGGTCAGGGTTCCCTTTACCTTTACCTTTAAAAGTATGAAATGCCTCTGTTTTATTTACCATGTGCAGGTGTTTGAAACAAGGGATTTTGGAGGGGGCAGAGAACAGATCATGGGGACCTGCCTCACCCCTCCTGTATCGGCACATTAGAGTGTTTTGTTTGGCATTGCAGCCCATGAGAAGGGTAGAGTTCAACCTGTTTAGGCCAGGGATGGGCACAAGAAGCTGGGATAGCTCAGTTGGTAGAGCACGAGACTCTTAATCTCAGCGTCATGGGTTTGAGCCCTGTGTTGAGCAAAATGATTGCAGAGGGTTGGAGTAAATGAACCTTGTGGTCCCAGATTGTGTACAGGTATGCGCTAGATGAGGGATGCCTTCTACATATGTTTTGGAATACAATTCCCATAATTCCTGACCACTGGCCAAGCTGGCTGGGCCGATGGGAGTTGTAGTCCATGATACCTGGTGGACGCAACAGTGACTACCCCTCATCTAGAGCATGTCTGCAGACAAACTGGGACCCACCAGCTATGGCAACAGCTCTAAGAAGTGTTTCAGAGTTAAAATGTTAAAATGACTGTAAAACGATTGAAATGTATATAACTGAAAATCATAAATATATTATTATTATTATTATTATTATTATTATTATTATTATTAAAAATGAAGTGTTTCAGAGTGTGGGGCGGGTCTGGGATAGTTCCAGGCAAATGCAAGACTCTTACCGTTTTGGACGTACTTAGCATTCCACCTAGGTTCATTTGTTCTTCAGATGGACTAAAATAATTAACCAAAATACCCAAGGACCGATCTGAGAAATGCATCCACTGTCAGATTGCGTTTGTCCCCAGATTAAGCAAGGGCATGTTTTAAGCTATCAAATGGAATTTTCCTCCAGCTTCCCCCATAATGTTGGCACTGGAGTAGCAGAGAATAAGGGTGGGGGAAAAGCTAATTTCATGCTGCTTTCCCTAGTTTCTGCTGGCCTGGTTTTATGTGGAGTCCCAGCCACAATCTAAGTCTTCCACATGAGTGAAAAATAGGCCTTGGGAGGGCAATTTGACAACACTGATGTTGACATCTTTGGGTCTTTTTCAGCAGCCAGAAGAGCATGATCACATGTCAGGGACTCTCATATGTACTTTATTTAGGCTTGTAGGTTGCGAGTTGTACATTTGAATCAATTAGGAAATAACTGATGGAAAGCAGGCAAGGAGAAAAATTCCAGGCATGCTGACACAGTTCTGGGTAGGGAGCGAAACTGAAGCAATATCGAGCGCCTCATTAAAATGAGTTAAAATCAAGTGTAACGAGTAACAACATAGCAAAAACTAAATAGTCTAGCTCTCAAAATGCCCTTTATACAAGACTACCTGTGCCGCTGCAACCGCGTTTATCTTGTCAAACTGTTTCCCTTACACTCAACAGCTTTCTCTGCTGATTATTTCAGGAATAATTCTACGGTGGAAACATTTTCCTTTTCCTGAGATCAAGTACAAATAAGAAATGAGTCAGATCTCACACAAAGCAGGCTGTGTCACACATTCTTTTGTGGCCCAAAGTCTTTTCACAAATTCTTGGGTGTATGCCAACTAGAAATATTGAGAATTAAGATGGGAGGGAGAGAAATACCAAAAGCATAGGGAAGAGAAATACTCTTTGGTTATTCCCCATAGTATATTTTCTTTTATTTTTTATTTTTTTTAAAGACTGAAAACTTATATAAAAGCTACTTAAAAATAGTTTCTGCTTTCAAAAAGTTACTGGCATGCACTTGAGCACTTGTGCTGCAATTTCAGTGCAGGTAAAGCTTCAGATTTGTGTCATTACTAGAAATACACATGGCTCATATCTACCAGGAGTCATGTGTGGTGAGTCCAATTCCGTGAATTCCCCTCCCAGCTGAGATCAGTCATCTCTCCCCTGCTCCCCCGATTGAAGTTTATTATTAAGTATATTTGCACATTGCCCTTCATCTGAAGTTCACAGAGTAGTTCACAATATAAAGATTTTTTTATGTAAAATAATTTTAAGTAAAATGAAGTCTGCTTTTCTGTTGGATCCCATTGGTATGTCTTCTGTAATCCCTGTTGCAAACTCAGTGGTGTATAAATTATATAAAGAACAAAGTGCATACAAGTGACTTAGAAAAAATAAATCTGTTAGCATCTAAAGCCTTGGTCAAACAGCCTGCACAACTTACGGTTCACGAGTCCAAAGGTAGTCGCAAAGTATGGACTTGAGGAACTTCCTGGTTTTTTTACTTCCTGCCAAGCACGCAGTAGTCACCAAGACATGGGAGGCTACATATCTGGGTAATGAATTATGTCCTGTCTTTGGAGGTTTGGAACAGGGAGTGGGATACTGCCATGGTTGCAGCGGGCCAACAGGTGGACCCGGTAATAATAATAATAATAATAATAATAATAATAATAATTTATTATTTGTACCCCGCCCATTTGGCTGGGTTTCTCCAACAAAGATTAAAAATACATTAAAAACATCCCTGAAAAAGGCTGCCTTCAGCTGTTTTCTAAATGTCAGATAGTTGTTTATCTCTTTGACATCTGACGGGAGGACGTTCCACAGAGCAGGCGCCACTACCGAAAAGGCCCTCTGCCTGGTTCCCTGTATCTTTGCTTCTTCCAATGAGGGAACTGCCAGAAGGCCCTCAGCGCTGGACCTCAGCATCCAGGCAGAACGATGGGGGTGGAGACGCTTCTTCAGGTATACTAGGCCGAGGCCATTTAGAGCTTTAAAGGTCAACACCAACACTTTGAATTGTGCTCGGAAACATACTAGGAGCCAATGTAGGTCTTTCAAGACTGGTGTTATGTGGTCTCGGTGGCCGTCACCAGTCTAGCTGCCGCTTTCTGGATTAATTGCAGTTTCCGGGTCACCTTCAAAGGTTGGCCCACGTAGAGCGCATTGCAGTAGTCCAAGCGGGAGATAACCAGAGCATGCACCACTCTGGCAGGTAGGGTCTCAGCCTGTGTACCAGGTGGAGCTGGTAGACAGCTGCCCTGGACACAGAATTGACCTGCACCTCCATGGACAGCTGTGAGTCCAAAATGACTCCCAGGCTGTGCACCTGGTCCTTCAGGGGCACAGTTACCCCATTCAGGACCAGGGCATCCTCCACACCAGCCTGCCCCCTGTCCCCCAGCCCCCTGGCTGGCAGAGGAGGGTAGGGGTGGCGTGGCTCACCTGGCTTCTCAGCTGTTGCCATTAACTGAGAGGGGAGAGGCACTAGGCTGGTTGGTGCAATGCAGGTGCTGCGTTAGGAGTGTCCGATGGGCTCCTGTGCTGCCCTGGCACTGCAGAATCTGCAGCAGTTTCTTCACCACATTGATTCCCTCTGGGGCATCCAGGTAAATAGCAGTGCCCCACCAGCTGCTGCTGGGTATGCCAGTTGGCATACGTGAATAGGGAGCAGGGAAATAACTTGGGTATCATCCAGGGCTACTTCACCAGCCCACCAGAAACATCCAGTGGGGGTGGGTGGGCAGGACTATGGAACTTGAAGACCAGCATAGAGTCAAATTAATTTGAAACCCATTATCATGAGTATTACCGTATTTTTCTGTGTATAAGACTAGTCCCCCCCCCCAAAATGTCAAAAATTAGGGGGCGTCTTGTACATGGGTACATCTTCCCCCATTTTCTTAAATCTGAGTCCCCCAAAATAGGGGGTGTCTTATACATGGGGGCATCTTATAGACGGAAAAATACAGTATTTGTTACATTTGAATGCCACCCTTTATTTGAAGATCACAGCGTAGTTCACAACATAAAAATCGAAAACAAAATACATAATACATAAATACATTATAAAAACAAAAACAAGCCAATAAGCCGCCTTCCACGATCCAACACATGGGTACTTGCTGAGTTCAATAGGACTGACTACCTAAGTGGGCGTCTAGGTTTTAAGATACAGATAATCATTAAGGCATCTTAATGATGCTTCATCCCCTTGATCATCTAAACCAGGAAAAACCATTTAGGCTAGTGACCAGCTTACATTGGCTAATTCCATAAGTTCAATAACTGTTGAGTGAAGAAACATTGCATGCTGTGTTAGGATCCAACAGTGACCTTATGAAGTGACCTTGCATATGGGTACTGTGGGTTGGGAATATGGTACCTCTGATCTCCTAAACAACAGCAGTGTAAGCATGGCCTTTTAGGCTGCTGGAGGCTAGGATTGAACAATGGAGAACAATGGAGAATGGTAGCCACTGTAATGAGTAGCGTATTGGACATGGACTTGGGAGGTCAGGGTCAGACATCTGAAACTTGTAGGACAGATGGAGAACACATAGTCCTCCAGATGTTCCTCACCTGCATAACAAACAACATTTAGAGGGACGCAGGTTTTGGGCCACCACCTTCCACCCTAGCATTTCTCATGGTGGTTGTGAGGAGATGAAATGGTGAAAACTCAGGAAAGCAGCCCTGACCTCCTTGGTGGATGGGTGAGAGAGAAAAGTACACAAATATCCAATTTTACTCACGTTCAGTTCTATGCATTCTGCACTCTTAACTGAGAGGAGTAGCCAATGTTATGTCTCACACCATTATGCCCATGTTAATTATCTCCAGGGTATCTTCTAGCTTTTAAATATCTTAGCATATTGTTTTATTAACAATAGGCTCCCTTTTTTCGCCACTGTTTAGTGTGGGTTGATGCTGCTATGACAACTTGGGACTTTCTCTCCTGCTGGATATGCAGCCTTCTACCAACAGCTTTTATATTGCCTGTTTGGAAAACTTCGTGGTTATTTATTTTGTACTGTTGTTTTTTAACCAAGAATCTCCCAGGAAAGATGGGAATGTTGTGGAAGTTTAGGAAATTGCCTCCTTACCTTCTCTCATGTGTAAAACACTCTAAATCAATTTATTTTGAACTTTTGGACACACTAGCAAAATAAATACACTATGGGGGGGAAATCAAATTGGATATCATCATTTATGAAGAGTTTTATCCCCTCTACTTTTGCTACTTTCCAATGTGATACAATTTGTTCTGTTAGGGATGTTGGAATTGGCATCAGCTTGTAAATCTGTTTCAGTAAACACTACTTGTCTCATCTGTCAGGGAACTGCCATCGGACGGAAGGGAGGTGAAAGGGCTCACACAGGTTGGGAGAGACGCAGCAGCTGAAGAGGGAACCAGCAGGGAGGTGAAAGGGCTCACACAGGTTGGGAGAGACGCAGCAGCTGAAGAGGGAACCAGCAGGGAGGTGAAAGGGCTCACACAGGTTGGGAGAGACGCAGCAGCTGAAGAGGGAACCAGCAGGGGAGAGGAGCTGAGCTGGAGGGATGGCTCAGAGACACTTCCAGCGAAAACAGTGGGGAGGTTTCAGGACCTCCTGTAAGAACACCCACTCCTCGCCGGAAACTGTCACGCAGAGAGTCCAGAAGACGTGTTTCCGTTAAGGAGCTTTTATGTTGGAAGCGATTACGAAAGCAACCACTGTCGGAATCTGCTAGTGACTAGAGGGGCCATGTCTGAGGGGCTCCGTCACAGACAGAGGTTTGTGGACTTGAACAAACTCTGAGGGGATACGATTTTACGCACAAGCAGCTCATCATCTCATCACAGCATTCCGACAGTCTTTGAAAGCAGCTTGTGCAGGAGAAGGCATCATGAGCAACCCAGCCGGAACCGGAGAAGCAGGAGCTGGAGTGGGTCCAAGCCTGGAAGAAAGGTACCGGGTGTTGGAGGTCCAGCTAGCGATGCAGACGGCGAGGCTTGAGGAGAGGAGGGCGCAGGATGCAGACAAAAGGGAAAGCCACCCAGCTCGCCAGAAAGGTACCAGGATTGGTGCAGAAGTTTGGGGGGGAGCCCAAAAACTATCATGGCTTTCGGACAGAAATGCAATATGCCCTCAATCTGCAGTTTGATGAATTCCCTGACGAGGAATCACGAGTGGCTTTCGTGATTGAGCATCTTGAAAAGGGGGCGAGAGACTGGGTTAGACCCCTGATGGCAGCGAACAGTGACGTCCTAAAGGACACAATGAAGTTCTTTCGCGCCATGGATCTGATGTTTTCCAGCGATATTGAAAAGGGAGTGGTGCGCAGACAGTTAATGGCTTGCAAACAGGGGAGCCGATCTGTCCGTGAGTACTGGACTGAGTTCACCATGCTTGTTCACAGATTGGGGTGGGACTTATCGGCGGAACCCATTCAAATGCTCTTTGAAGAAGGGCTTTCTTCGGCTGTGAAAGACGAACTTTCCCGGGCGCCCAGGGTGGAGTCTATGGACCAGCTGACCAAATCAGCGCTGGCCATAGGAGCGCGCCAGGAGGCGAGAGCATTGGAGAGGCGGGAAGGGAAAGGGGAACGTTGGAAGGAGTTCCGCATTCCAGACATTCCAGAGCCAACTTTCCCACCGGCAGAGCCGATGGAAATCGGAACAGCGCGCGCGCGCAGTTTCAAAGCCCAGTGAGGGGGAAAAAGGAGGAAAAGGCGCCCGGAAATGCTATCTCTGCCAACAGCCAGGTCACTTTGCCAGAGTCTGCCCTCAGAGGAAAGAATGGCAAGGGATGGTAGGAGCTGTGGATGGAAGAGAGGAAGATATACCGGAGCAAGTAAAAGCCAACGCCTGGCTGCCATTGTCGGGGCACAGCAGCCAGGCCAAAGAGCAGTGAGAGTGCCCACGCCAGAACCTCCTAAACCCGCCCTAGTGATAGAAGTGACGCTAGAGCTGCCAAACGGACACCCTCTAAAGATAAAGGCGCTGTTGGACTCAGGCAGCTCCTGCAATTTCATGAGCAAAGAGTTTGCAGCTGAACACCAGATACAGACGATCCCTTTAAGCAGCCCCCTGCAGGTGACCACGATCGATGGCAGGGAGTTGTTGGGAGGAGAAGTCAGCTTGCAGACCGTCCCAATGATAATGAAGGTAGCAAGGCACACCGAACTGATAGCTTTTAATGTGGCCACCTTGGGAGGAGCTCCCATTATATTGGGGATGAGCTGGCTAGCGTTACATGATCCGCTGGTGGGCTGGCATCAGAGAGTGGTTTCTTTTGGTTCAGCACATTGCTTAGAACACTGCAAAGAGGGAAAGGGTTTGGCAGGGGTCCAAGCCACCCTAGCAGGGACTGAAGTAACAGAGAACGTGAAGGTACCACGACAATATGCAGATCTCCGTGACGTCTTCAGCGAAAGGAAGCTGACCAACTACCCCGCATAGACCCTTTGACTGTCAAATCAATTTACTCCCTGGAGCACAGCTCCCTGTAGGCAAGCTGTACGCCATGTCAGACAGAGAGATGCAGGAGTTAAGAGAGTTCATTGACAAGAACCTGAAGAGAGGGTTCATCAGAGAGTCCAGGGCGGTGGGGGCAGCCCAGTGTTTTTGTGGATAAGAAAAACACGAACAAGCCGAGGCTGGTGTGTGACTTCAGGGCCTTAAATGCAGTGTCAGAACCAGTAGCCTTCCCTATGCCCAGGATTGACGACATTTTGACAAGGGTGCGGAGGGAAAGATTTTCACAAAGCTGGACCTAAGGGGGGCGTACAACCTGGTACGAATAAGGAAGGGGGATGAATGGAAAACCACTATGTTCACCCCTTTAGGGGCATTTGAATATTTGGTTATGCCCTTCGGCCTACAAGCAGGCTCCGCAACATTTCAATCGTTTATGAACCACGTCCTGGGGCCTTTGCTTTACAAGAATTGTGTGGCCTTTTTAGACGACGTGTTGGTGTATTCTGAGAATGAGGAGCAGCATGTGAGAGACGTCAGAGAAGTGTTGAGCAGGCTGCAAGCCAACCAGCTGTGGGTGAAACTGGAGAAGTGTCAGTTTCATACCAAGGAGGTGGAATTCCTGGGGTATCGCCTGTCTGACAAGGGATTGGCCATGGATCCCGGCAAGGTCCAGGCGGTGCTGGAATGGAAAACACCCAAAACAAAGAAGGATGTGCAGAGGTTCCTAGGATTTGGGAACTTCTATCGTAAGTTCATCCGAAACTTTGCCCACCTGACGGCGCCCATTACGGACTGTCTCAGCAGTAAGAAGAAGTTCGTGTGGACTGAGGAGGCGGAGCGAGCATTTGAGGAACTAAAAAGGGCCTTCGCCTCGGAACAACAACTCCTGCATGTGGATTTACAAAAACCGATGAGAGTGGAAACTGACGCATCAGACAGAGCGATTGGGGCGGTGCTTCTGCAGCCAGGGAAGAAGGGGTCAGAGTGGAGACCGTGTGCCTTTTTTCGCGAAAGCTGAACAAATCCGAGAGGAACTACACGGTGTATGACCGAGAACTACTAGCCATTCATGAGGCGTTCCGGAGATGGAGGCACCTGCTAATTGGCGCACAACATAAGGTGCAAGTGTGCACTGACCACAAGAACTTAGAGTATTGGAGGACGGCACGAGTGCTCAACCAACGGCAAGTGAGATGGGCCCAGGAGTTCTCCAAATTTAACTTTGAGATTAATTACGTGCCAGGCCCAGAGAACATTAGGGCGGACGCTCTCTCACGCAAACCAGAATCTTTGGAGGGGGAGGGGGCACCCGAAGAGAGACATGTCATTCCAGAGGACCGCTGGGTGTGTGGGGCGGCATTGGTGGGACAAAGAGAACTGGTAGAGGAAACAGAGAATGATGAATACGCCCAGAATAAGCTCAGAGGTCTTAGGAGTGAGGGAGAGGAACCAGGGGGTTTCGAGGAAAGAAATGGAGCTTTGTATTACAAAGGGGCACTGTATATCCCTGAAGGAGAGTTAAGGGGAGGGTACTCAAGCAGTTGCACGACAGCCCTACGGCGGGGCATTTTGGACAACACAAAACCATGTGGTTGGTCACCAGGGAATTTTGGTGGCCTAAGGTGAGGGAAGATGTACGTGAGTATGTAAGAGGGTGCGAGCAATGCCAGAGAGCCAAAGGGGAAAGGCGGGCGCCGGCGGGGCTATTAGAACCCTTACCAACCCCAGAACGACCTTGGGAGGCAGTGTCGATAGATTTTATGACTGATCTGCCGAAGTCCAAAGGGAAAACAGCCATCATGGTGGTGGTAGACCTACTAACAAAGATGTGCCACTTTGTAGCTTGCTCGCATGCAGTCACGGCGGAAGAGACAGCGAAGTTATTTGTAGAACACATTTTTAGGTTGCACGGGGTGCCATTGAGGGTGGTCTCAGACCGAGGAAAACAATTTACTTCCAGGTTCTGGAGGAAGCTCATGAGCTTACTGCAGGTGGAGGTCAATTTTTCGACTGCCCGGCACCCTGAAACCAACGGGCAGGCGGAAAGAGCAAACGGTGTCCTCCAGCAATACCTGAGGTGTTATGTCAATGACAGAGAGAATGACTGGGTAGAAAAGTTGGCGCTGGCGGAATTTGCCTACAACAATGCCGAGAATGTGTCCACAGGGATGAGCCCCTTCTTGGCTAATTATGGGTGTCATCCCAGGGCTTTCCCAGGGGAGATGGGGGAGAGATGGAGCGTCCCGGCAGCCGAGCATTTTGTGGAAGAAATGGAAGCAATCCATCGTCAGCTCCAACTCAACTTAGAAAGGGCGAAGGAAGAATACAAGAGGCAGGCAGACAAGAACCGAAGGGAAGGTGAAACCATAAGGGTGGGAGATAGGGTGTGGCTGTCAACCCAAGGGTTGCCGTTCAAAGGAGGTTGTAAGAAATTAAGACCCAGGAGGTTGGGTCCCTTTGAGGTCATTCAACAGGTCAACCCAGTGGCTTTCAGGCTCCGGTTACCCAACCACATGAAACTGCACCCAGTATTTCACAGGTCGTTACTGTCACCGTACGAAAGGGGACGAGAAGGGCTGGCCACTCGGGGACCGGTCATAGAAGAAAGAGAATGCAGCAGCCATGTGGCAGAAATCCTCGACGCCAGGTGGAAGGGGATCAGGTGGAGTATTTGGTAGCGTGGGAAGGAGAACCGGAGTCAGAAAACACTTGGGTAATGGCCGAAGATATCAATGACGAGGTATTGATAGAAACGTTCCATCAAAGGTTCCCAAGGAAACCTCAGCCTGTGGAGAGGTTCCGGAGGGAATACTTTGGGACCACTGATGAGGAGGAGGTGTACTTCGAGACCAGGAACCGCAACAGGTTGAGAGAAGTGTTCGAGACATCGGAAGATGAAGGAAGTTCATTCCGGGGTTTTGCCTCCTCACCGCCCGTAGAGGAGGGGGCGAGAGGGGGTGAAGGGGGCCCTGGAGGGGAGGTGGATGTCAGGGAACTGCCATCGGACGGAAGGGAGGTGAAAGGGCTCACACAGGTTGGGAGAGACGCAGCAGCTGAAGAGGGAACCAGCAGGGAGGTGAAAGGGCTCACACAGGTTGGGAGAGACGCAGCAGCTGAAGAGGGAACCAGCAGGGAGGTGAAAGGGCTCACACAGGTTGGGAGAGACGCAGCAGCTGAAGAGGGAACCAGCAGGGGAGAGGAGCTGAGCTGGAGGGATGGCTCAGAGACACTTCCAGCGAAAACAGTGGGGAGGTTTCAGGACCTCCTGTAAGAACACCCACTCCTCGCCGGAAACTGTCACGCAGAGAGTCCAGAAGACGTGTTTCCGTTAAGGAGCTTTTATGTTGGAAGCGATTACGAAAGCAACCACTGTCGGAATCTGCTAGTGACTAGAGGGGCCATGTCTGAGGGGCTCCGTCACAGACAGAGGTTTGTGGACTTGAACAAACTCTGAGGGGATACGATTTTACGCACAAGCAGCTCATCATCTCATCACATCATCCTTCATTTTCAACAGAAACCCAAAAGCCAAGTACAGTCATAACCCTTAACTATGGCTAGTGATAATCATGGTATGTTGGTTAACACCCCCAACACCCAGTGGCTAAGTGATGAGATTTGGCTTCCCTTGGAGAACAATGAGCCCAGCAATTGTCACCTCCGGGCATTTCCTGGAGTGTATACATGTCTTCAAGCTTGGGGAGTTGGCAGGGGAAAGAGTCCTTTTTCCAAGGGCAAAATGGTGTTGGAATGGAGGAACTTGGCAAAGGTTTTGATTTTATATGATTCATAAAGCTAGGTATATTCCCTGAGCTGTCAAATCGAAAGGATACATTCAGGCATAATATTTGTAATTGTTAACAACTTTAAAGATGTGCCCCCCCCCCGTAATATTCGTAACAGTTTGGTTCTGTTATTGTTTGTATGTTCATGTGTTAGCTTGTAGATATAAGGTAAAATAAAACAAATAAAGGAACAACCAGGCCAGCATGGAAAGGTCGGCGAGAGGGCCATTTTGGGTTTTGGTGGGCCACAGGTTGTAGCAAGCTTGCCCTTGACACATTCCTTGCAAATAGGACTGCTGGCTTTCACTTTGGTGATTGTGCTGGTCCTTTTGAAAGCTCTCAGGCAGGATGAAAGGATTCACCCACTGGATCATTTGCAGTGACTTCTCCCCTGGGCCCCCACTGCTCATTCACACAGGTTGAGAGATGGGAGAGAAGGGAAAGGAACTGTTGAGGCAGCAACGGGGACTCAGAAATTTCTCCAAGCTAGTCTCTTGTCTTCAGGCCATGCCCTTCCTCAGCCCCGCTTCCTCAGATGTTTTTGCCTTGGCTGGAAGGTGTGCTTGAACTCTTGACAATGCTTCTTGTTTCCCTGGATAGAAGTTAGGGGTGTGTGACTGTGTGCATAAACTACTGTGCAAAGGTAAAATTTACATTCCTTTACTCGCCTACTTTTCTTTCTAGTCCCACCCACTACAGTGGTACCTCGGGTTAAGAACTTAATTCGTTCTGGAGGTCTGTTCTTAACCTGAAAGTGTTCTTAACCTGAGGTACCACTTTAGCTAACAGAGCCTTGTGGCGCCGCCATGCGATTTCTGTTCTCTTCCTGTAACCTGAAGCGTCTGTAACCTGAAGCGTCTGTAACCTGAAGCGTCTGTAACCTGAGGTACCACTGTACTGGCATTTGGCCCTCAGAAGGTTGGCCAGAAGGGAATGTGGCCCTTGGTTCCCCATCCCTAAATTTAGGGCGGCAGAAGGAAGGAGCCACAAGTGCAGACCCTCGCCCTGTTAGAGCACTGTAAGGAGCAGAAAGAAGGCTCAGGTTGACACCTGAGATTCCTACTTCTAATTTGCCTCTGTTTTAATAAAACAATGAAAGGGAACAGGACACAAGGACACACACGTTGTTTTCCCCTTCCCTACCAGTTCTGCTTGTTGCTCGTATTCTTTGATAAAGGAGCAAGACTCCTTGACCTATTAACTGCTTTTTTGACTATGAAAAATGGCCGAGGCTGCGATTCTGGACAAGAGCAGAAGGCGTGACACTAATTGGCTAACACCGCTGAGCGATTGATCTCCTGCCCTCCAATTCCAGTTGTTCATGAAGTCCTTCTGCATACTTCCTCTCATCTCACATATGTGTGGAGGCACTGCAGGAGGCTGTCGTTTCAGCGGTATGATGGTGACGCTGCTTTCTCCCTCGCTTCCAGATGGCACAGTCTTTCAGCTCACTCCCCTCCACCACACCTCTCTGCTTCCCAACGGCTTGCTCTGAGGCTGGGTGATGAATAGCTGCTGGCTGAATATCAATGCAAACAAGGAGGAGGTGGTCCCGTAGAAAACATTTGGAGGAAATGCCATCGTGGGGACTGCTTGGAAGTTGGGCTATACATTAAAGATAGATAGATACGATAGATGATAGATAGATAGATAGATAGATGATAGATAGATAGATAGATAGATAGATAGATGATAGATGATAGATGATAGATGATAGATAGATAGATAGATGATAGATAGATGATAGATAGATAGATAGATAGATAGATATAGATAGATAGATAGATATAGATAGATGATAGATAGATAGATAGATGATAGATAGATGATATAGATAGATGATAGATAGATAGATAGATAGATAGATGATATAGATATAGATGATAGATAGATGATAGGTAGATATAGATGATAGATAGATGATAGGTAGATATAGATGATATATAGATAGATAGATAGATAGATAGACAGATGATTAGATGATAGATATAGGCATTTTACTTGCTTGATGTACAGTGGTACCTCGGGTTACATACGCTTCAGGTTACAGATGCTTCAGGTTACAGACTCCGCTAACCCAGAAATAGTACCTCAAGTTAAGAACTTTGCTTCAGGATGAGAACAGAAATTGTGCTCCAGCGGCATGGCAGCAGCAGGAGGCCCCATAGGCTAAAGTGGGGCTTCAGGTTAAGAACAGTTTCAGGTTAAGAACGGACCTCTGGAACGAATTAAGTACTTAACCCGAGGTACCACTGTAATTGGTTTTCCCTCTACCTAAATTCATACCTGTTTCCAGTTAAGCCAAGCTGGAGTTGAAAAGCTCTTGTATTTTTTTCAGGTAACAAGTGATAATTAAAAGATCCCCCCCCAAACTCTATGGAAGGGCTGTAGCTCAGTGACACAGCATCTGGTTTGCATGTAGAAGAACCAGGTCTAATCTTCAGGTCTGGTTGGAAAACAACCCTGTCTGAAACCCCAGAGAGTTACTGCCAGTCAGTGTGGACTATACTGAGCAAGATAGCGCAGTCATCTGACTTGGTATAAGTCAACTTCCTATGTTCCTGTGTTGTGGTTACAGGTTGTCTCCATGTCTAGCAAGTTCAGATAGAGCCTCAATACTTCATCCCACGACATACTTCTCAAAGCATACTTCTCAGTTGTATACACAGGAGCCATGTTTGCTGCACACCAGCAAACTGTATCTGCACAAATAAAGTGTTCTTCTAAGAATACCAGTTGCTGGGGATCACAAGTGCGAAGAGTGCTGTTGCATTGAGGTTTTGCTTGTGAGCTTCCCATTGGCATCTGCTTGGTCATTGTGACAACACTATGCTTGACTAGATGGGCCTTTGCCCCGATCCAGCAGGGGCGGCTCTTCCTGTATTCTTCAGAAAATACCCAAATAGTACTGCCGCACAAAATGTGAATCTCAGACATCAGTGCAACCCTGCCCTACAATCATGTCAGCTTTGTTCAATGAAGATCTTTGTACCCACATAAAGCTTTGGATGGGGGAAAGAAATGGAAGAAATTTGAGGTTATCCTTTGAGGGTTAGTTTCCTTATGGCTATAGCCTGGTTGACACGTAATGCTAAACCACAGTTTAGCCTTTTTAAGCATAAGCTCATGTGTTCACCCTTCCCCTTGTCCTGTATGCCTGCAAGGAGCCTGAAAGCTTTGTCTTCAGTTTTCAACTAACCATAGTTACTGGTTATTTGACAACTGTGGTTAGGGTGAACTATGGTCTAGGAAAACTAGCCAGAATCATTAACCACAATTTGAGGTCTGTTGGTTTCCCTAAACTAGGCACATCCTTGGATTTAGAGGTCACCCCCAGCTATTACCATGATTTCTCCCCTGATGCTACACTTCCTGCTTCTTTGTTTGGCAGCCATGCTCTCCTCCAGGGCTGGGAGAGCTGGCCAGGCCTGTTGGTGATTTAAAAATGGAGCCTGAAGGGAGTGGGAAAGCAATTGCACTCTGTAGTCACATACTATAGTTCCCTTTCCACTTATTGTCAGGAGTTCAGCCTACACTCGAGTAGGACCCTGGCAGAGACACATGCCCGACTGGCATCTTCCCTCCCTCCTGGTCGATCGCTCGGGAGCTTCATAAGCTTTCTTCAGCCCAAACATCACAGCGACCGATGCCAACCGACACCGGCACACTTAGGGATCTGCAGAGTTTGCGCAACTTGCGTGTAACAGACCTCAGCGACTCAGCATTTTGGCTAATCTACTTTATTTACATATAAACACACATGGAGCACTGCAACATGGCTCTCTCTGGCGTCAGACAGCAAAAAGAAAAAGAACAAAGGACAATAGTTCCACTTCATGGAACACAGTAACACAAACATCCTGTTTCCGTCACTTCCCACTCTCTGGAGTCAAAACATATACCGTTATGTGATAGACAAAAATCCCATGACCGCAATCATAGATCAGGAATTCTAACATCCTCCCCCAATTCATGCTCTGTTTTGCAGTCATCAGTGTAACTGCAACAACCATACAGATGTCATACACACAGTATACCCCGTATCACCTGTTCCACCCTTGGAACTACCTGCAACTGGATTAGCCTTGGGGGCCTGCCTGATGCCTCCGTCTCCCTGGCAGTATCCCAACACTTCTTTGCAGCTCCATTATCAAAACAGCAGCTGACCATCCAAGTTATCTCTTGTCAAGTTATCAATAAAAGTGTCACTTGGATTTGAAAGTGCATTTTCCTTCTGGTGTTTTAAAAACAGCAATGGTTTCCCTTGGGAGGTTAGCAGCAAGGTTGGACACCCGACCTTGGCTCAATCCAGAAGAAGAAATGAGAGCGGGGAAACTCTGGTCATCTCTCTCTGAGTGTGGAAGCTCCAGAGGTCGCAGAATTTGGTCCTCAAATCCATTCCTAGCAGCGCCACTGTGCTAAATCACAACTAACATTAACCACAGTTTTGTGTAAGGTTTTTATGTAGTGAGCAACCATGGTTAATGGACTATAGAAGCGAAAGGGGGAAGAGGGAAGTACAGGAATCCACATTGCCGCATGTCCTCTTAATGCTCAACTTCAGTTGAGCATTACATGCAAACACAGTCATCGTCATTTACTGTTTTTCTTACGGTAATACTGCTTGCGTGGTCAGAAATCTAAAATCTGAGTTGTGTGCATTTCATAAATACTTCATTAAATGAAAAACTAAATTGATAATGAAGCATCTGAGCCCTTGGCATACAGGTACTTTTTTGAGATACAAAGCGAAGCGACGTTCATTATTCATTAGCAGTGTTTGTTTTCTTACCTTGATGTGGGCTTTGCGTTGCACAGGAAAAGTTCAGCTCATTGTTGTCTTCTGGTAATCTGTGTAATAAACAAATATAATTAGGCCGGGTCAGTTTCAGGGAGATTTATCACTTGCCTTGCAGTGAAGTTTTATCCTTTAAGGTGCTAGGAAGATGTAAATCTTAATTCGTTCCGGAGGTCCGTTCTTAACCTGAAACTATTCTTAACCTGAAGCACCACTTTAGCTAATGGGGCCTCCCACTGCTGCCGCACCACGAGAACACGATTTCTGTTCTCATCCTAAAGCAAAGTTCTTAACCTGAAGCACTATTTCTGGGTTAGCGGAGTCTGTAACCTGAAGCGTATGTAACCCGAGGTACCACTGTATATAAAATGACAAAATACATGATAAAAGCAAGAACAAAACCCACAAACCAGTAAACCTCCCCCCCCCTGCAAAAAATAAAAAGTACATTTAAAGGGGTAGAAGATGTTAATCAGCCCAGACACTGAGGTCCAGCTCTAAGGGCCTTCTGGCAGTTCCCTCACTGTCAGAAGTGAGGTTACAGGGAAGCAGGCGCAGGGCTTTCTCTGTAGTGGCGCCCGCCCTGTGGAATGACCTCCCATCGGATGTCAAGGAAATAAGTAACTATACAACCTTTAGAAGACATCTGAAGGCAGCACTGTAGAGGCTGGTTTTTAATGTTTTATTATGCCTTGTATATGCTGGAAGCTGTCCAGAGTGGCTGGGGCAACCGAGTCAGAGGGACAGGGTACAAATAATAAAATTATTATTATTATTATTATTAAAGGCCTGGTTGAAGAGTAACGTTTCCATCTGGCGCCTAAAGTTGTATAATGAAGGTGCCAGCTTGCCCCTTCATCCTTCTAAATCATGCCTGCCTTTGCCACTTTTCAAGGTATTAGGTGGATACCCAATTCGTATTCTCTCATCTCCCACCAGATGCCTAGTCCAACCTTTAGGCTGCTTAAATCCTGTTGAAGTCGGTCGGATTTAAACAGCTTGGCTGTGCAGAAGCTTACAGCTTTTGTTTCGAGTAAAAGGAAGGAGAGGGGAAAACAAGCTTAGCTGTCCTACTTGCAACCCTGAAGTCGTATCTGTAGAGTCACAATAATACAGTGATTACTATATTGATCAAGAACCCGAGATTTTTATTTTTATTTAATGAAAAACTAAGCCTGCAGTCACAAGAATTGGCTGTTCATTTCGAAACCTGTGAAATTCAGCTCTTCCTCCTTCTATATTTATTTACACCCACTTTCTTGACCTGCCCTGTCTCTTGTACTTATTATCTTTTTCCTTGGCAGGAACTGGATATAAGGGCTTTCAGGAAAGGAAGTTGTTCTGGTGTTGTTCATCCTTACATTGTGCTCAGCCTGCCCTGAAGGTCTTTGTGAATTTTGATGAAACTGATGAGGACTCAGCTATACAGCTACAAATAAAACGTTTTGAATGTGTTGTAAAGTGCAGCGCACAATTGTGCCATTAGATGGCAAAAGTGAGCTATGCCAAATTCAATATATCTTTTGAAACGTTAATGTGTTTTATATTGCCCCACTCCCTCCCTCCCTCTTTTATTTTATTTAACAATATATATAAAACACTTTTTTTAAAAAAAGCCCTCTAAGCATTTTACATAACATAAGAGAAAAAAAATCATGAGAAATTGCTGATACAGTCAACAGATTTTAAGAAGCTAAAAGATATAAGAAAAGCATCACAATATAAAACCAAGTGGTTTTTTTTTATTAAAAAAAACACAAATATAATTTTTTTAACATGTGTCTGGGGAGGCTTGCCTAAACATAGAAGCTTTTAACAGGTGTCGAACACAGTACAGTAAAGTCGGTTCCAGAAAATAGGTGCTGCCACACCAAAAGATTGATTTGTCGCAACTGCAGAAATGAACATTATATGGAACTTGTTATAGTGCCATTTCCGCAGATGGAAGCATATATTGAACATGGAAGATAAAACTTTGTGGTTTTTCAGAAATAAAATAATACGAGAGATTTTTTAATAATAATAATAATTGAACTAAATACAGTGGTACCTCGGGTTACAGACGCTTCGGGTTATAGACGCTTCAGGTTACAGACTCTGCTAACCCAGAAATAGTACCTTGGGTTAAGAACTTTGCTTCAGGATGAGAACAGAAATTGTGCTCCGGCGGTGCAGCAGCAGCGGGAGGCACCGTTAGCTAAAGTGGTGCTTCAGGTTAAGAACAGTTTCAGGTTAAGAATGGACCTCCGGAATGAATTAAGTTCTTAAGCAGAGGTACCACTGTAGAGTATTTAAAGTAAAAGTTCCTTTTTTCAAAAAACAAACAAACACAGTTTGGTTAAAATTAAACCTGAATTATACAAGCACCTTATTTCCTTGAGCTAAACCCATCTCCCTTAGACAAAAGCTGAATTTGGGGTGGGGGGCGGGGTTGCGCAAAGAAACATGGGCAATACTTTCCTGGAAGCAATCACTGGAAATATGGCAGATGAGGTCATATACAGTGGTACCTCAGGATGCGAACAGGATCCGTTCCGGAGCCCCATTTGCATCCTGAACATAATGTAAGACGTGACAGTGTGTCTGCGCATGCGCGGGTTGTGTTTTGCCACTTCCGCGCATGCGTGTGACGTCATTTTGACCATCTGCGCATGCGCGAGTGGCGAAACCTGGAAGTAACGCGCCCCGTTACTTCTGGGTCGCTGCAGAGCTCAACCTGAAGCATATTTATCCCGAGGTATGACTTTACTATATTACTGGTGGAACTGGACATGTCAGGGACATGTCATCACATGCACAGGACTCTGTCTCTAGTTCCTGGTTCCAGGAGATGCCCTCCTTAATTATCACTAGGAGGAGGATTCTACCCATGCCAGTGAGCTTGTGCCCTTTTATTTTTATAGCTACCTGAGCTATTCAGTTTGCTTAGTTCTCAAAATATGTATCTTGACCCTTAATTTGCTTTTCAACCTATGAAAGGAAATGATTCTACCCAGTAACTACTAGCTTCTCATTCTGGCACTGTCAGGGGTTGGACTGAGGAGGAATGGTGGGAACACACCCCTCTTCCTGCAGCTTCCCAAGAAGAGGAGGACAGTATAGATTTAGAACAGCGGTTTGCAGAAGGTCATAGTTCAGAGGCTGCAGAGGGGAGAAGCTGGGGAATATTGGGAGAGGTGTTACGATATAGAAGCAATGCGGCCGTGAGCTGGTAGCTTGAAAGCAAAACATAATGGGAATGTTGGGACTGTTCCGTGGGAAACAGAGGGACAGTCAATTCACAGTGCAGAGGGCACCGGAATTAGCTCAGAGTGTAATATGAGCTGTACAGGAAGTACAGGAGGAGTTTGTCTCTCGACTGCTGGAGCTTGAAGAGAGCAGTCATGATATTTGTAACGCTGCAAAGACAGAAATAAAGGCATGTAAATACGTTTCTGTCTATCTCTTTCCCCTGCCTGGGGGGCAGGAAAGAGGGGGGGTGTTCTTCTCACTCTGAGAAGGATCGCCTATCGCGACCTAGCCTGGATCCTGCCGGGAATGCAGACAGGGAGGTCAACAGGAGATCAAGCCGGGGTGCCTGGAGAGTGGCCAGTTTCTCCTGGTAAAGGCTTGAATCCCAACAAGAGGGACAGCAGGAAGAAGAAGGACCAGGAAAGGGACAGCTGACAGACTCAGTGTCTTTGGAAAGCATGCCAGACCACCACCCCCCCAGGTCCCAGCAAGCATTGAGAGTAGTAGAACAGAAAGCTCGGAGGCAGAAAGCACAGATCAGCTGGTGACGTAGAATAGGAGGAACTGGGAGTGGGGCTTTACTTGGAGCAACACCATTATCTAAGAGAGACCGCTTTCCTTCGTGTCTCTCTGTGAATATTGAATAAACTACTTGGTAAGAACTCTTCTTGTTTATCTGCTTCTTGGCATCTCACCGTGGAAGGAATAAGATTCCCTGATAGGCACACAAAATCAGCAAAGATCTTAGATGTTCAATAAGCGACACACCATTTTCTAAAAGGAGTAAGGATGCAACATTTATATAAGGTTAGCACCAACTAAGTTCTGCCAGAGTAGAACCTTTGAAATTACATTACCCAAGTTTCTTTGTCTCTTACTGCACTGAATTTATTTGTTGGTTACTACCATCTTGGTCATTTCAACCACCATTAAAAAGGAAATATATACATACTATACAAGCTATACAAAATACACATAGAGACACCATTACAAGGCAGTATAACCCAATTAGTGCATATGTATATTAGAAAAAAACAAGCTGAGACAAATACGTTTCTCAAATTCATTGCTGATCAGATCTTTACAGTCCACCATATTACCCTTAATGTACCTTCTCGGCTTTTGAGCAGTAGTCGCAAATCTTGCAATGTTGTGTGCCACAAAATTATCAAAGCCAGACAAAAAATACATGATATTCACTTGGTCGTCCACTTCAAAGTTTGTTATGCTCCTCAATTTTGCTGGGTCTGCTCTAAGTAAAATTATTATTGAGTACGACCCAAAAATTATACAAAGTGTACACTCCTAGGTAGTGTAAATGCTCTCTTTAGGTGTCAAATTTTAAACACATTTTATTGGTTAGATTAACCAAGAAGTTAGCAACATTGGTGCCTTCCTTCCTTTCCATTCATATATCTTGTTTTCCTCCCAGTTGCTCAAGGCAGCACACCTTGATCTCTCTGCTCCTCCTCTTTTTTTTAACCCTCACACCAACTATTTGAGAAATAGTTACCATTCTCAGCCAATGACTCTCACGCCTAGTCCAGAACTCAAAACGCTCCATAATGAAACCCAGCCAACTATTCTGGCCTTTTCTTTTCTTTGTTGCTGCTTTAAATAGCCTTGATTTGTATTGACCTGCTGCACTATGAACCTGCAATATCAAAGTTTCAAATGCATTTTTCTAGTCATGATTTCCACAAGCCGTTTTCTCAGCAAGATTCGTTTACCTTTCATCTTCCAGTATGTGTAACGGTGAAGATGAGTATTCCTGACCTCTGGTGGAGTTTACCACAAATTACCATGTTATTACATAATTATGACAACCAATTGTTTTGTCTAACTTTACAAAAAAGATTTAATATGTCTAGGGTGAAAGAATGAATTTATTTATTACCATGCCATGGGCTGGGCGATGATCATTTATTGTGCATTTATCATCATAAGAGGCTGCTATAATAAAATATTCCCTCCTCTTTGATATTTGCTAAATCGGACCGTTTGACCCAATTATATAAAATTTGTTTTTTTGTGCTTTGTTTTTTCTTATTTAAGAATTTTGAATTTTATTTATTGTGTTTTTTTAAAAATAAAACCCCCCATGAATGTATGTTTGCATGTTTGAGCTTGTTTCCAAGCATTTTCAACAACATGCTTAGCATGTTCCTCCCTTTGTTTCCTCCCTTTGCCTCTGGCCAACAGGACTGGCCCATAACATTTTGTTGCCCGAGGTGGAAGAGTGTGAACAGTTAGAAAAAGATAATGGCTGCCTAGCAACTCCAGAGCAGCATATTGTGGATTTCTCTGAGCAGATGACTTCTGTAGGTCCACTGAAGGATTCTCCTTGGTTCTTGGTACAATCATCTACTCTAGGCTGTACCTGTCACGCTAGGCATATTAAGGTAAAGGTAAGGTAAGGGACGCGGGTGGCGCTGTGGGTTAAACCACAGAGCCTAGGACTTGCTGATCAGAAGGTCGGCGGTTCGAATCACTGCTCCCGTTGCTTGGTCCCTGCTCCTGCCAACCTTGCAGTTTGAAAGCACATCAAAGTGCAAGTAGATAAGTACCGCTCCGGCAGGAAGGTAAATGGCATTTCTGTGCGCTGCTCTGGTTCGCCAGAAGTGGCATAGTCATGCTGGCCACATGACCCGGAAGCTGTACACCTGCTCCCTCAGCCAATAAAGGGAGATGAGTGCCGCAGCCCCAAAGTCGGTCACGACTGGACCTAATGGTCAGGGGTCCCTTTACCTTTACCTTTTCAGGTAAGGTAGGACATGGGTGGCGCTGTGGTCTAAACCACTGAGCCTCTTGGGCTTGTTGATTGAAAGGTTGGTGGTTCGAATCCCCACGATGGGGTGAGCTCCCGTTGTTTAGTCCCAGCTCCTGCCAACCTAGCAATTCGAAAGCACGCCAGTGCAAGTAGATAAATAGATACCAATGCAGTGGAAAGGTAAATGGTGTTTCTGTGTGCTCTGGTCCCCATCACTGTGTTCCGTTGTGCCAGAAGCGGTTTAGTCATGCTGGCCACATGACCTGGAAAGCTGTCTGTGGACAAATGCCGGCTCCCTGAAGGCGAGATGAGTGCCGCAACCCCATAGTCACCTTTGACTGGACTTAACCGTCTAGGGGTCCTTTACCCTAGGCATATTGAATGGAGCTTGTTCCCAGTAAGGATGTTTACTTTATACCCACTGAATTTAGTGAGGGTTACTTCCAAGTAGACTTGTATAAAGGTAAAGGGACCCCTGACCATTAGGTCCAGTTGTGACTGACTCTGGGATTGTGGCGCTCATCTCGCTTTATTGGCCGAGGGAGCCAGTGTACAGCTTCCGGGTCATGTGGCCAGCATGACTGAGCCGCTTCTGGCGAACCAGAGCAGCGCACGGAAATGCCATTTACCTTCCTGCTGGAGGTATTTATCTACTTGCACTTTGACGTGCTTTTGAACTGCTAGGTTGGCAGGAGCAGGGACTGAGCAACGGGAGCTCACCCCGTCGTGGGGATTTTAACCACCGACCTTCTGATCAGCAAGTCCTAAGCTCTGTGATTTAACCCACAGCACCACCCACGTCCCTAAGACTTGTATATAGAAGTGTGGTATTGTGGAGAAGTAAAATTAAGGATACACAGCTGGAACTTCTGCATTATAGTCATGGTGTTGTTAGTATGCTTGTTTGGTATGTGTGCCACTGTACATACCTGTAGACTAAGGCTGGGTAAGCCCTAAGGCACATTCAAAGCACAGTGTTTCCCTCAAAGAATTCTGGGTGCTGTAGTTTGTTAAGAGGTACAGTGGTACCTCAGTTTAAGAACAGTCTGGTTTAAGAACAATTTGGTTTACAAACTCCGCAAAACCGGAAATAGTGTCTTGGTTTGAGAACATTACCTTGTTCTAAGAATGGAATCCGAGCGGTGGAAGGGCACTGGCGGCGGGAGGCCTCATTAGGGAAAGCGCGCCTCATTTTAAGAACAGTTTTGGTTTAAGAATGGACTTCCAGAACAGATTACGTTTGCAAACCGAGGTACCACTGTACTTGGAATTACATACCCTTCAACATTTCTCTGATAAAAACAGGGACGTCCCATTCCGTAATGATAATTTCGCTATTCATACCTCACACATCTTACTAGGTTGCCCCGGCCACTGTGGGCAGCTTCCAACATATATAAAAACACAATGAAACGTTAAACGTTAAAAATAACTTCCCTATACAAGATTGCCTTCAGATGGCTCGGGAGTCAAATAACTCCATAACCTCCAACATTTCTCCAATGAAAACAGGGACATCTTAAGAAAAAGCAGGACATTCCAGGATCAAATCAGAAACCAGGACAGCTTCTCTAAATCAGGGACATCCCTGGAAAATAGGGACACTTGGAGGGTCTGGAATGGTATCTATCTGAAGGGTATACTACAGTGTCCAGAATACTTTGAGGGAAATAATGTGCTTTGAATGTGCTTTAAAGGTATATTGCATGCACAGTTTGCGTCTGTGTGTTCAGAGACTAGCCTCTTCTGGAATAGAAAGGACTGGGGGGAATTAGATCAAATGTGCTAGGGGAAATGTCCAGGGTTCTATTCTGCAATCCTGGCTCTGTTGCCAGAGGAGGTGTTCATGTCTATTCATAGAATCGGCTCATAAACTTAAGCACATTTAATTAAATGCACAGGATCACAGGCTGCATTAACTTTGGGTCAAAATCTGAGAAGCAGAGTGCCCTTGGACAGTGGTGGGGAGCAACAGAGACAAGATCAGAGCTTTCCCAAGAAGTGAGATTTATTGGGAGAGAAGAACAAAGTGGCCGTATAATAATTGACTGTGAAGGCTGTTCCAGAGAAGGGAAGGAGGGGTGGGGATGAGAAGTGATATGGCTGTCAGCCACGGAGGCTGTAATGTACAGTGGATTGCTTCAGGGAGGGGAAAGGAGAAGGTGTAGTGGGAATAGGAAAGCTGGAGAGAGAGAGAGAGAGAGAGAGAGAGAGAGAGAGAGAGAGAGAGACTTATGCTTTGTCTGTACAAGGATCAGTAGCATTAGGGTAAGCTGAAAAATAAAATAAAAAGGAGAGACTTCCTTCAATCTCAGCTAGTCTTCATGGCACACAGTCTACTGTTAGCAGGAATGAGGGAAAAGGAAAATGCAAAGCTAGGCATCCAGAGTAAGTCAGGTTGATTTTTTTGTAGCAAGACTTCTCCTGGGATCACCTAGAGTTCAGGGATCCGGAGGTTCAAAAGCAGGAACTCATCCAGGAATTCTAGAGGCCATACAAATAGAGTGTTTGCAAGCATGGCGCTAACAGTGGCATACTAAGTTGGAAACCAATTGTAAGACTGTGGAAAAGAGAATTCCTGCACAGCAAAAACAGTCAATTTCACGTAATTATTTCATCTGTAAAGAACGTTGTATCATTTTTGTGCACTGTAACAAGAGTGTGTCTAGAAGAGAGGGCCTAAAAGGGAGAGGGGCCTGGAGACTAAGGGTTTGTTCACACCGGAGTATGTTGTGGATTCAAAGTTTGCTTGTGTTCTCATTAAATGAGCATCATCAGCATGACACCCACTGCGGAGAGCTGCAATTTCACACATTTTCTCCACTGAATTTGGATTTTCCCAATTGGGGGATAATTCAATAAGGGGAGAAATAAATGACCCCAAACTGCTGCACTGTGGTCGGTGGATGATTTGCATCAGGTTCCCCCCTCCCATGAATGGATCAATCCTTCCCTTGTCCTTTCCATGTCCCACACTCATCCCGAGCTGCGAGTGTTGCTTTGATTTTTTAAAAATAAAAAAGTGTTCACTCAGATTGACAAACAAAGAGGGGTGGGGGTGGGGAAGGAGAAAAGCATTAAGAATAAATAAAAAATGCCCTTGCAGGTACAAGAAGTGGGAAAGAGAAAGGGGAGGAAAATAAGTGGCAATCTTTCATGTGAGCGACTCCAAATTGCACCCAGGGAAAAGACATGGAGCAGTGCTGGTGAAGAGTTAAGACTGGGGAGAATCCCAAGGAGCTGAATGAGAAGCTTAGACTTTGGTCCTCAGACTGAAAGTTCCCTGCCCCTGAAATAGCTCATAAAATCAAAAGTAGATCCCCCCCCGATATGTCGTGCTTTTTATTTGAATGTCTCAAAATGACAGCAGTGATTTCCCCCACATTTCAAAAAACCAACAACATAACTTTAAACAAAGTTTAGGCAATCCTTGCTGAGTTTATGAAGGCTCTATTTACCAGGGAGCTTGAATTTGAATTCCATTACTAAAAGCATTGTGTAGTTTTTCCTGAACATTCTGTAAATGTTTTCTCTTGACAGATACACAAGCTCTCGTTTCTATTTCTCTCCCTGCCAGCACACAAAACCTCTGTAGCACTGCGCAATCAGAATCAAGTTCAAGAAAGACCAAGATTAAAAATGGCAACAATACTGGAGGGCAGGATTTAACAAGAATATGGTACTGGAGGAGTTAGTACAGTCTGTGAAATGAATACAGTATCAGTTTTGACTGAATGCGGTCACAGATTTATTTGCTTGTAGGTTGCCTTTTACATTTAAACCCCTCCCAAGGTGACTTCCTATATATAAATTCATGGTGTAAAACTAATAACCTATTTAAAACAATAAGAGGAACCCACAATACCTTTCAGGGGAATCCATTGCATAATCTTTCAAAGTTTTGGTTCCCCTGCCATACCACTTCCATATTTTTAATTGCTGCCAGTCAATGAATCAATCAGTCAATCAATCATAGACATGTTCAGTCTATGGCTGGCTATTGATTTGTTTATATACTGCTTCTAATGGACGTATCTTAAGCAATGTACAGTAAAATCAACACACAAGAGACAAAAGAGGTTGAAGAACAACTACTTTGTGATTGCGTCTTACACACATTTCACTTGTGTGATTTCAACTATACACAGTTGCATAACTATTGTTCTTCAGTATCTTTGCAATTCTCCTTGGTATCCTTTCTAGTTTGTCAATGTCTGTCTTGGATTGCAGTAACTAAAAGGGGTAGTGTTTAAAGATGCCAACCTGTTTTGTTAAATTCCTGCAGTTTTGTTTTAATAAGATGAGTCTATTCTATAAAGACAATTAAGAATAATGGAACATTTTGATACTGTTCACTGGCATCACCAATAGGTATGAGACTGATATTATTATTATTATTATTATTATTATTATTATTATTATTTAGATACGGTTGGAAGCCTTGATCTTACAGGATTTATGAGTTTGGAAAATGCACCTTTTAGAGTGTTCTCAGTATGATGTGTAAAGGTTGAGGGTATTTTGTGTGAAAGTGAAAAGCCAGTTTAATTTAGAACAATTTGTTGTTGTGGTGGTGGTGATTATCCCGTTGTGTGTGCTATTGAGGCTCACAAGGAAAGTAGGCAGCGTGTGGTGAAGTCAAGTAAAAAAAGATAATGCCTAGTTGAGATAAGCAAGGTTGAGACACAGTAGGCCATGTCAGGTTCATCAGGTAAGGTGTAGTTTAGCCTTTCTCAAACTTGGGTTCCTATGTTATTGGACTACAACTCCCATCATTCGTCTCCAGCATAGCCAGTTGTCAGGGATTATGGGAGTTGTAGTTTAATAACATATGGGGACTCAAGGTTGAGGAAGGCTGGTGTAGAAAGTCAAAGCAGGCCAGGTTGGGAAAGTATGGTCAAAATTTCGCTTAACAAAAAACAGGACCTTGGATAGCTCCAAGTGAGCCCTGCTAGCTGAAGTCCCCTTCTACTAAAATAGCTATGGGAAGAGGTTGGCTCATCCAGGAATGAAACAGAACCGAAAATTTCTGTCAACCAGAGCCTTCTGACAAGACCTGTAACATGGTTGGCTTGGCTACCCCTAGAACAGCAGGCTGGTTAGTTAAAAGGCCCTTGCCTGATTTTGCAGAAAGCTATTCCCAGCCCTGCCCAACCCAAGGCCCCTCCTGGAGACCATCTGCTTCAGATCCAACCCCAAATCAATTCAGGGGCGGGGCTAATGCTTAACTAAGATGCTAATTAAATGTATGGTTGGAAGAAATGCTCTTCCCTCATCCCTGACCAAGAGCAGGAGGGTTCAGTTCTGTGCAGGGTGCTTCTTCACAAATGCCTTCCCCACAGGAAAGGTGCTTGTTAAGAAAGTATGCCCAGCAGGATGGAATTCCAACACTCTTTCCCCAAATATCTCCCTGCCAGGCCTCCTCACAGTCCACTCCCTAGGCTCCGTTGCCATAGCAACCCCACAGGCCTACCTCCATATGTGATGCAGCCTCCACAGCAGGGCTAGGCTGTATTTGGGCTCTACCAGCCATAGCTCTCCGCTTACTTCTTCCTGATCGGGATGCATTTTCACCAAGTTTTCCTGCAGCCCAATCATAGGCCTGGATGGTTGCCATGGGAACAGGGCCTTGGAAGAGGCCACAAGGAGGCCTGGAGTGGGGATTATATAGGGCACGCCTTCAAAAATGCCTTCCCTGTGCTGAGAGTCAAGTCCACACTTTATGTGGCAAGTGTTTTGTCCCCCCTGCTGGTTCAGCATAATGTGTGAACAGCGGCACATAAATACAGTAACTCAGAGCAGGGCTTTAGGTGTGGCTGCCTCTGTTCTGTGGGACAGCATCCCTGCTGACATACAAAAGGCACTCACTATTTGTACTTCCCAGAAATCATTGAAGACATTTTTATTTTCACAAGTTTTTTCAGCTACGTTTGAAAATCTCTGCTTATTCATATTGTATTTTTCTTAATGCTATCTTTACTATTGCCTCTAAAACCCATTTTTAGCTTTTCATGGTATATTTGTAAATCACCTTGACACATAGGTAATCACTGAATAATAAATTTTATAATAATAATTGTACATTTGAAAACATTTGGCAGGAAGCCATGGGCTTCCAGGGATATGCACCAGGTTTTTTTAAGGACAAACACCTGTGCTTTTGAGTTTGCTGCAGGAGAAACCATTGAATCTTGTCCAGTAGGATGGCCACGTAAGGTTTGGGTCTGTGTTAAATGCAGACCTTAGGGAATACACCTCCCAAAAGCAGCTGAGTGTTTATTGGTATTTGAAGACATGCTGTGAGAAAGACAAGAGAAACTGAATTCTTTCTCGGTTCATCAGTATTATATGCTAATATAGCAACTTATCTTACTACAGAAGAGAGAATTCACTGCAATTTGGGGAACAGAAATAAAAGAAGAGCTGCAAAAACAACACTGATTCCCGACTGCAGGGAGAAAGAAGGAAAAGTGGTATTAGAGATGCAGTCTTTTTAAGTCATTGTTTATTCTCTATGTTAGGCAGAATTGTTTTTGTTAGCTTGCCATTCATAAAGGAGCACATTCACAAGCAGATGATGAGCTTCAGCATTTTTCTCTCAAGAAAAAAAATGTAATGTTTGCTACTATTTTTTCTTTTTTGCTTATGGAAATGTACGTTAAGCAAAATGACTAAAGTGTCATATTCTGAAAAGGACTGGAAGTTTAGCCTTCACAAAGGATCCCAGTGTGTATTATGGACAGACACATGTACAGACAAAGAGCCTTGCAAAAACTAGCCGGGCAATGAAAGTAAATAGTCTACATGCAGGGACTGGAGCTACTACTTGTAGCAAGCGGTTGCCATGAGGAATGGTTCCAACCATATTATCTCTTTCTTCTTAAACTGCCACCAAGAATATCTGTCAACAGCATGGGGGAAAACTTGGTGTGTGGTGTGGGCTTCAACTTGATGAGATGCTTACAAATTTAGTCAGCATATAAATTCAATTTCAGGTAGTGCATCATGGACCTGGATTTCCAGTTCTAGTTTAGCCTTGACTATGACCCTATGAAGAGGGAGAAAAACTTTAGTTTTTTTAAGAAGAGAATTGGAAGTACTGTAGTATGATGAAGTCATTGATTCCCTTGGTGTATATCAGCCTATCCTAATCTGGTGCTCCCCAGATGTTTTAGACAGCAACTCCCACCATCCCTTTTTATTGGCAGTGCTTGGTGGGAGTTGTAGTCCAAAAACATATGGCGATTACAGTGATGGGGAAGGATGATGCACACCAGGAGAAACAAGCATGGCACCCTTTAGATGTTTGGGGCTATAACTTCCATCAGCTTCAACCAGCATTACCAAGGATGATAGGAGTTGTAGTCCATAAGATCAGGAGCACAGCATGTTTGCTACTCCTGGTGCACACTCACCTTTCCTTTGTCCCACTGCCATCTCTGGTCAAATAGGTTTTGCAGGCATTTCAGAAACTCCCCCAAAACTGCAGAACCCTGTTTTCCAGGAGTGGCTATCATACTGCCTTCAAGATGCCAAAGAAAGCATCTCTAGCCTTGATCAGTAAAGCTCCTGATCAGTGTAGATTACTTGCTTCATAGGATTAATCTTCAGGATGAATTGGGTGATTGCCTCTTAGATGTAACCTACACTGATAACAGGTTTCAGACATTGTTGCTGACTGGTTCTTGCATCCGGTGACTAGAAGCAGTGGAGAGCCATCAGGAATTCAAAGTGTAGCGTTTTGTTGTTTGTGTTTCATTCCTGAGTCTGTTGAACACATTTTACTGGGCAGCGAAGAAAGATGTTAAGTCACAGTTTAATGCAGAGTTATGTGCAATCAGTCCATTGATTTTACTTAAAAGTGCGCCAGTGTTGGATGGCAGCCATAGACTGCAGCAAGATTACTTGCTAGTCTGCAGCTTGCTGGAAATGTTAAGAGCAAAGATGTTTCTTGATTAACCATAGAGACATTTCAGCTTATGTCCTCTCCACACAATGAGGTTGATTAGCATTAATTGCCCTTAGTGAACATGAAGAGGCAAGAGGCAGAAGTGCATTAGCTCTCCAATAACACTGAAAGTGGTGGGCACAATTTTTCTTGCTGCTGTCAGGGCCCATTGTTAGCTTATTCAGCCCAGAACACTGGATGAGTGCATGGTGCTGTTTCGACTGTGTGCTCAAAGGAGAGGGGCGGGGGCAGGCAAAACAACACTAAGCACTTGTTTCTGCTGGGCTTTCCACTCTTCCTCCCCCATGACCATCTACTACCAACTGCCCTGTGGGAAGATACAGGGAAGTGAGGGAAGCAGAGATGGATTCCCTACTCCTGTTCAAGCTGGACTCCCCTTTCTGACAACAGCATTTTGCCAACAATTGCTCTGTGAGAGCAGGTTAATACATCAATCTCCTCCTGCTGGATGGTTCCTTCTCCTACCATCTATCTATCATCTACCATCTATCTATCATCTATCTCTATCTATCTATCATCTATCTATCTATCATCTATCTATCTATCTATCTATCTATCTATCTATCTATCTATCTATCATCTATCATCTATCTATCATCATCATCTATCTCTATCTATCTGTCTATATCTATCTCCCATCTATCTATATCTATCATCTATCTCCCATCTATCTATATCTATCATCTATCTATCTATCTATCTATCTATCTATCTATCTATCATCTATCTATCTATCTATCTATCTATCATCTATCAATCTATCTATCTATCAATCTATCATCTATCTGTCTATCTATCTATCTATCTATCTATCTAATCATCTATCTATCTATCTATCTATCTATCTATCGATCGATCTATCTAATCATCTCTCTCTCTCTCTCTTATCACCACTGGCCTGGTGGAAGTTGGTAGATAACAAAGGAAGCAGGTGAAGACAACATCCACCTGGTCCTAATGCAGCTAGACTGTCGTTGTCCCCACCATACACAGGGTCATTTACCACTAATTGCCTGGTGGGAAGGAGCCAGAAAGAAAGGGAAGAAGGTGAGGACAACATCAGAAATGTATTCCTGCTGGTTTTGTTTTGTTTCAGGTGTATTACTTTTAGTGTATCCATTTGATAAATGGTTTCAGGTGCTTTGAGCACTTCTGTCTAAATTGCAGGGGTATATAAACAATTAAATGAATCAAGGCTTAAATTTGTATGTACTACATTGGATTGTTTAAAATCATTATGTTCTATTCCCCACCAACCAACAAAGTAAGTTTTGCCTTTTTTAAAATCTGAGCAACGCTTTCCCCACTTAAGAATGAAAACTCACACTGCTTTCATCCCCTCCCCGATCTTTTCACCCTCAGATGTATATCACCAACACGATAAAGGCCAGAGGAACAAGACTGGCAAAACCAGTCCTTTGCTTGAGTTTAATGTGCATGGCATTTCTTACTGGTATCAACAGAGTAGCAGAATATCGAAATCATTGGTCAGACGTGATAGCAGGATTTCTAGTTGGCATTTCTATAGCAGCATTTCTGGTAAGTACGGCTGCACGTGACTCTTTCTATGACCATGAATGGGTTCCTCACATGCTTTATTCATCAGAATGCAGGCGGCATGCTTGAATAACAATCATTCATAAATATAAACAAATGCACAGTTAATGCTAATCCTGAGCTCAATATGTGCTCCAGCATGGAACACATTCATATGAGAGATCACTGATTTCACTAGTTTAAATTGTTACATGCGTTCATCCCTTTGCCTGCAGTGAAAGTGTCTCCTCCACTGAGCTGTGTGCATCTGCAACTACTGGATCCCATGTTTAAAATAATATGTTAGTTTTTTAAAAAGGTTATTATCTAAACCTCACCATTCAGTTCCAAATGAGTCCACTGTATTGGAAGACTTCAGCACAAATTGGGGCTGAGGCCAATATGAGTTCATGTTTGTCAGCAATGTCACTAAATTATTGTCAGTGCAATGTGTTAACTGGCTTTCCTTTTTTTAAAAAAAGTTCAAAGTATTATACAGTCATTTAGAAAATGGCATTTTTGTTGCAGCCTTCGGACAATGTGGATCCACGTTGCACAAGTTGAGTACAGAAAGTCACCATGTGCTGGAAGATATGCCACGTTATTTACAATAGTGGGCAATGCAGGCAGAGCTGCATTGCTAACCTGGTTTCCCAAAACAGTATGTCACTGCTGGCTGTTGAGAGGGAGGCGGGAGGTAGTGGGAAGCTTGATGTGGTTCAGGTGCAATAGTGGGGGTGTTGGATTGGCTTCGCTGCTGTACCTGTGAAGAACTATCCACCGCCTTGTCTCTCCCTCTTGATAACTGGCAGTGATGTGCAGTGTTGGGAAACCAGGTCAGCAATACCACACCAGCCACTACTGTTTATTTTATCTATGAGCTCTTGATGGTTAGACTATTCTGTTCAAAGAGTGCATGTTGATGGATAAGTGCATATTGAGAAGTGCATTAAGTTGATGTATAAGTGCATGTTGATGTTTGTTGAAAAAACACTCCAGAGGCATCTAAAAATGTCTATTTACAAGCAATTGTTGGTAGGCATCTAAAAATGTCTATTTACAAGCAATTGTTGGTAAATTCAAAGAACGACAGTGTACGCTGGCATCTTCTTGATAATTATCCTAAGCATATACTAGCTGTGCTTTTACAGTGTTGTGCTTGTGCTGTAATCTCATTCATTATGGAAGAATGATTTAATAATTAGCATTTCTATCGGAGGACATTGTACAGTTGATGTGGGTGTTCAGGATCCAATCTATTAAACTCTCTCATAATATCTGATTTCTTCCTTCTCTTTCTAGGTTGTGTGTGTGGTAAATAATTTTAGAGGTAGACAACCAGAACATGAACATTCTCACATGGACAATCTGGCTCAAATGCCTATGATCAGCCTCCCTCGAGTAGAGAGTCCTTTAGAAAAGGTAATGGATGCTCTTCTTGAATTTGAAATGTCACTTCCTTTCTAAATTCTGGTGACACAAAAGGAGAACTTTCTGATTCATAGCCACAAGCTACCATTCACCGAATGCTAGGACAACTGCAGACTTGGGATAGCAAGGGAAATCTTGTATATAATGCCAAGCCGGTATTTAGTGCAGGGGTGGAGAACCTAGGGAACATGGGCTGAATGTGGCACTCCAGCCCTTTCTGTCTAGCCCTTGGGAGTCTTCCATGGCCACACACCCTTCCCAGGCCACACCCACTCTCTCCAAACCACACCCTCACTTTGATAATGCCTGTTGCTCATCTTAATGGGAGATGGAGAAGTGTGTGTGTAGAAACCTCAGACTTCTGCATGGTTGGAAAATAACCTAGTGTACAAAGTAAGAGTCACATCCATTGGCTTTCCCACTTTTGTCTCCAGTTCCTGCCCACCAGCTGGTTGCCCTTGAGGGAATGTGGACCTTGGATTGAAAAATGTTACCCATCTCCCCAGGTTTCGTGCTCTGTGCATGAGTGACATCAAGTCTTGGGTGTCCACACTTTTCTCTCCTCCTTTGGCAAACCCTGAGGGGGAAATCAGAAGCAGCATGTTGTGATTTAAAATTGCCTAGAAGTCTTTGGAACTCAGGGGAGCTGCAAGTATTTTAAACAAAGGTTTGTTCACACAAGACAACTTCACACCACTGTGTATGATCCAGCTTCCCTCCAACCTGGTCTCTTCCAGATGTTTTGGACTTGACTTCCAATATCCCAGATGATTGGCCATGGTGGCTGGGGCTGATGGGGGTCTGGAGGATACCAGGTCGTGGAAGGCTTGCTGAAACTATCTAGAATTCCCCTGAGTTCAGATGCAACCATGAATTATAGGTGCTTTAAAACCTGGTGTGGATGCTTTCAAAATCCTCTCGCCATGCCAAGGTGGAGCTTGTGGTTTCCCATTATATGCAGCACAGGCATGGTAGATTCAAACCAAAATCCAGTAGAGGGTACCAAAGAACATCTTCATTGCTCCTCTCCCCCCAACATATTCTTTATATGAGAAGAAACATCTAGTGGAAGAAATTCAGGAAGTGAGTCAACCAAGAGACAGCTGCATGAAAGTGTAGAAGGTTCAGGATGATAGACAAGTCTTCCAGCAGTCTCCCCCGCCCCCACTTCCCAGGCACAGAACTGCTAATGAAGTGAGCAGAATTTTGGTCTCTGGTAGGATTAGGCAATCAGGCATCACACTGCACTTCCTTTGATCAGGACAGCAGAACTGTGAATGGTTAGGAGTTATTATTACCTTGCCAAAGCAAGGGCTGGAAAGCCTGCAGCAATCACAGGTGATTCTAGGAGATGTCAGTCAGAATAAATAATACATGGGTATATTAGGCAGTAAGGAACATTTTTAGTTCCGAAAAGATGCCACATGGTTACATAATAGAAAGTCAGATTGTGTCAGAATGGCTTTTTGTAACAAAAGCAACCACTGAAATGGATAATGAGGCAGGACAAAATGTTTTAGAAATATTAATTACCTTGAAAAAAGTTAGATTACCCCTTATTTGCACAAATCTGTCATTATCCATTAACCTAGCATGTAATATACAGCCCATTAGTGGTGGTCAGTGCTCCTATCATTTATTTACTTTTTAACCTTATACGCAGTCTAGAGAACTAGAGAACATTTAGAGCATCTTACATGTCAACACAAGGGACGTGGGTGGCGCTGTGGGTTAAACCACAGAGTCTAGGACTTGCCGATCAGAAGGTCGGCAGTTCGAATCCCCACGATGGGGTGAGCTCCCGTTGCTCGGTCTCTGCTCCTGCCAACCTAGCAGTTTGAAAGCACATCAAAGTGCAAGTAGATAAATAGGTACCACTCCGGCAGGAAGGTAAACGGCGTTTCCGTGTGCTGCTCTGGTTCGCCAGAAGTGGCTTAGTCATGCTGGCCACATGACCCAGAAGCTGTACGCCAGCTCCCTCGGCCCATAGAGCGAGATGAGCCCCGCAACCCCAGAGTCAGTCACGACTGGACCTAATGGTCAGGGGTCCCTTTACCTTTACCTTTACATGTCAACATGAGAGGTCGTTTTATTACTGTTCATTATACTGCAAAATTCTACACTTAAATGCGCACCTGGAGTTTCTACCAGGCGCACTCACCAGGGAGTTGTGGGCAGTGAGTGGCATTCAGCTAAGTTTGACTCAGAGTGTATCTATTGGAATGAATGAAGATGGCTAAATTAGGTCCATTAATTTCAGCGGCTCTGCTCTGAGTACAGATTTGTTGAATACTAATCACTTTTCATAGATCCACAGGCAACTAGTCACACAAAACAACTTTTTGCCCTAAATGCGGATACACACTCCCGGTTTCCATCAAAAGAGGCACCCAGCCAGCACGAGAGAGCTCAGAAGATCAATACAGTGTAGGTGAGGTGTATATCTGCATTGCCAGGGTACATGAGAAGCAGCTTGCCACCATGGAAGCTTCTGGGTTGCAGTGGTAATACATGAAGTGGCTTAAAGAAAGAGATGAGAGTTGTTGTTCCTTGCTATTGTTTCACTTGTTTATTTTACCACGGCACTCAGTATCCTTGTCTTTGGGATATAACCCTGTGATTTCCCTGAAATTTGTGGGAGTTACAGATGATCAGGGACAAGTGTAAGAGCCTTTGTGTGTTTCAATGCCATCGGAGAATAAACAGATTTCTTCTTGGAATTCTTTGACACACCACTCAACGCAAAGATGCCTGAGACGCTTTGTCATAAGGAGGTCACCATCTCCTTTGCTCGAGCCAGCATTTGCTTGATGAATGTGCATCTTCTACACAAGCCATTCTGTTAGGCCTTTGCTAGATGTCAGAATGAAGCAAGATACTTGGGAAAGGCTTTAGCCTTCCCCAAAGGAACTGTGGAAGGGGCAGCCAAAGATCCCATCAGAAGAGTTGTGTGGGTTGAAGAGAGCTCCGTCCTTCAGTGGGTCATCTTGTGCCCCATCACTTTAGGCAATTTACTGAGAGCCCAGCTCACTTCCACTCTCAGAGCTGGACTGAGAGAAAAGTATCAAGGAGGAGGTAAGGAGCTCCATTCGAAGATGAGGTGGGGGAGATTTCAGATTCCCTCACCCATGGACTTTTTCTGATGTTAAAAAAGCCAGTCCCCACCTGCTGCTTTGTTTATGAGTGGGGAAATTAAATGACCCACTCCCACCACCACTCCATGAATGTTGTATTTCATGTACAGACTGTTCCTTCTCAGATGGAGAGGAGAATATCCATGGCTGGGAATCTGGGCACATCATAAATCACACCACCTTGAGGAATCATATGGATTATTCCAAATCTAGCATGTGAAACGACTCTACCTGTGTGTTTCAATGGAGAGCACTTTCTTGTGAGGGGGAATCCTGATTGGCCTGGGATTCCCTCTTATGTGGAAGAACTCCAGAAGCCTGTCTGAAGCAAAAATAAAACCTCTGTGAGCCTATCAGAGGTGGAGGTGGTGGTGGGAGCATGTGAAGGTTGTGTGTGTTTGTGTGTCCCCCTATCAACTTGTTAAATAACCAAAGAATAGTGGAATGTATTGGGAAGGAAACTCTTTCCTTTCAAGGCAGGCGTATGAAAGCTCAGACATGGAGCACAAAGGCGGCCTCCCAGGCCTCTCCATCCAGCCCTCAAGAGACTCCCCAGGCAGGCCACACTTCTTCCCCCAGACTCCACCCATTATTTCCCCTGCTGCATGCCTTCCTTGGGTGCATTTGCCTGATCAGAAAGTGTCCCTGAACTGTGATGATTCCTCTTGCTTGTCTGGCTGGTTGGCTGGCTGGCTGGATGACTGGCTGTCTGGCTGGAGCTTATCCTTCCTAGCTGTGGCAATTGCAGAGCAGACGGAACTCAGGGCACTTTCCTGGCTTTGGCTAGAAGACTAGTGTTCTAGTGGTGCTCTTGGACACTGCACAAGCTGTCAGCTTGCTCCTCCTTCTTCCCCAGGTGATGGCCAGGACAGTGGGGGCCCACAGTGAACCTGATAGAACACAAACAGGGAGAGATGTTTTGAGACTGTAGGAAAACACAGAACTGGATAAGGAATGGCACTGTGAATCATTAGTGAAAAAAATGGCAGCTTGGCGTTTCCCATCTGTCTAGCTGAAATGCAGTATGTTACTTTACAAAGGGGAATCAAAGCCTGGTATGAATATTAGGAAGCCTCCTCTTGCCTTTGCTTGTCAAGAGAGCAATAACCTCTGCTTACTGCATTTCAGGCTTCAGCTTTTCCCTCTCCCAGCTCAGCCACTGACCTCAGGAAACCAGAGCTAGAAGGTCTAGATTTGGCACAGCTGCCCACAGGCCTGCCTTATCCCTTATGTTCAGTTTGAAAATTCAGTGTGACATTTGCATTGTCTCTGCTTAAATATATCCTTGGATCTATTCAAAGCGTTGGAAGGTCAGGAAATTCTTGTTATGCCCAGCTTTCTTCTCTGATTCACCAGGCATCTGTACACCTGTGGTCCTCGGATGAAGGGTGGTACAGGAATTTAATGAATAATAATGACAATACTGTAACGATGATGCTACGAACAATGGAAATTGTTGAGCTGGTTTTGCTGCTCTTCTAAAATATTCTGACAGCTGAAATGAGTATTCACGGTGTTTGGAGTATGATGCAAACCAAGAGCTCTGTTTGCTGTACCTTTCTCTGTCTATCCTATAAAACCAGCCATCTCTACAATCTAAACTATATTTCTTTCATTTGCCATAATGATCCATACCTTTTACTATCACATGTACTGTCACTGTGGCTTAGGATATCTTCCTAAATTGCATTCCATGATGCGCTGGGACTGCTTGTGGAAGAGAAAATTGACAAACCACCCACACTTAGCATGTAGAACAACTTTGTATGGAACTTTAGATCCCAGGCTGGTAGAAGTTAGCACTAAGGGAAAACTGATCCATTCCTCTATCTTGAGACGCACACATTTACCTGCTTTGCATTTTCTAAAGCAAACACACACACACAAACATGACATAACTATTATCAGCAGCTAGGGACTGGGCAGAAATGGAAAAAGCTCTCATTTAAAGGTGAGCATATCCAGTTCAGACTATCTGAAACAATCTGCAACCTGAAACAGCTATCAATTCAAATTAGCCCTTTACTGAATTTTGCAATGTATTTCTTAAGCCATATGTGTACACAAATGCATATGTTTAAGTAAATCATGCATAAAAATGCATATATTAGCAAAAATAACAAGCGAAATTTGTCATATCTGGGGAAAGAAAAATGTGTATATTAGGGGAAATTGCATACAAGCCTTCTGTATTAGAAGAAATTTTGCACTAAAATGCGGATGAAATTGCATGAAAATTATTATTTTTTAAAAGTTGCAATCTGATGTTGAGAAGTGAATTTAAGACTGGAAGACTGAGAAACTGAGATAAACCAAAATTGAGAGATTCACCTATTCCCACTGGCAACCCAAGAAACTGAAAGGATAAAAATTCCTCCCCCCCCCTCTTTTTATCCCCTGTACACTGCCATCTGTGCCGCCTTGTGCCCTCCCTCCTTAAGATGTGCTTGGATGCAATCTCAAACTAAATCAGGAGGTTTTTTAAAAAGCAAGCAAGCAGAAACTACTGCTCTGTTGCCCAGAAAAAAAGGCAAAAGGTCAAGCTTCTGAAATTTATACTAGGCCAGGCTCATCTGTGATTTCCCAGTGTTCAAGAGAGAACTTGCATTCCAAACAGACAGAAAATACCAAGAATGATTTAAAGCAAGGCTCTGCTTGACTAATGATCCACAATGTCATTCTTACCCATTGAGCACAGAGGATGTAAACATGCCTAGGGTTTTGTCATTTTTAAGAAATGCAACACTTTCAACTGTTGCCCATAGGCTGTGATTGTACTTTGTGCACAAAAGATAATCATTTTCCCACTGTAACTTTAAAAAATGAACTTAATTGAGAGTGTTACCTAGCATAGAGAATGCAGACTAATGGTAATGACCAGCAATTAATTATATGCTCATTCTATGTAATTGACAGTCAAGTGATCAAGTTTAACAGAGCTAGAGACAAGCCTTATGTGTTTAGCATAAAAGCTGGGGGAACTATGCCTCACCTCCAAGGATTGCTAATTAACATGCTTTTAACCCCAGCTATGAGTATATTTATCCTTAGGATTGTAAGATGAGGAATGGGAGGCAACAAATATTTCCTGTTTTCAATTCTCCCTGTGCAAAACTCTTCCTTGCCACTTCCAGGTTTCTCTTCAGTTCAAATATGTTCTCTTTCTCTAATTGCTGCCCAAACCAAGCTCTGCATTTTGCAATGAAAGAAAGAAAATACTTCCAAAACGAAAAACACTAGCTTCTCTACCTCCTTATGATCACTGCACCCGGGTCTTGTTTGCAGGCCAAAGACTGAGAATCCACTACACCCTAGGGAAAAAGAACCAGAGTAGATGGAAAAGGCAATGAGAAATATCTTCCAAGTAGGACCTTGCACAGATTCAGTGGGTAGACCACGAGACTCTTAATCTCAGGGTTGTGGGTTTGAGCCCCCATTGGACAAAAGATTCCTGAATTGCAGGGAGTTGGTCTAGGTGACCCTCATGGTCTCTTTCAACTTTACAATTCTATGATAGAATGGAAAAGATATGCCTCTGTGCCTGAAGCTACATGGAAGTAGAAAGCGCCACTGGTATTATATCCAGTGTAAGTTGGTTGGGCATCCTGACCTCAACAAAGAAATTGGGCTGGGGACATAGGCAACTGCCCTCTAACAGGAGCAAGGGAGGAGCAGAGCCAATGAGTTGTTTCTCTCTCTCTCTCTCTCTCTCTCTCTCACACACACACACACACACACACACGCTGTCAGGAGTCCAGGTTCCCACCTTGATAACACAGTAAGCGTAGGTAATTAAAAAGGAGGATTTATTGCAAAAACAGATAGCTCTGGACGGCTCTAACAAAGCCTCCGGCATCATCACTCAAGATGACCCTTCTGAAGATTCCTTCCAATGTCAACAGAAGATATTGAACTTATGGCGCTTACGTCTCTTGTGTTGCTTCCTGTCTTGTAGCCCTCCCATTCTCCAACTCCTTGGACCTATTGGATTAGCTCCAACCCCTTCATGTTCTGACGTGCTATCTCTGTGTTTATTCGTGCCTGTTTGAGCTTCCTGCAAGCTTTGACTGTGTTCTAGCCTGCTCTCCACTACTGCCTTATCAGCCTGCCCTTCAAGGTCAGGAATAACCAAAGTCTGCAGCTGCCGGCTCTCCCCTGCCTGACTAACATCTAAGCCTCTCTGTTCTTGGCTGCTTTCTGCAGTTGGCTGCAAACCTTTGTTAGGAGCTGGCTCATTCCTGACACCCACACACTCAAAATAGTTTAAAGCAGACATTTCCCCCCTTTTGGTGTCTTCTCCTTCTCACTGCACTCAAATGTCTCCCTTTTCCATTCCCTTCTTTACCTAAACTTCTGCCATTATTTTAAACCATAATGTTCCCTCCCCCCAGTAGCCCTCCCTTCTCACTCCCCATGCCATAGCCACTGGTGTTGTGCAACTGCCTTCACATTTGCTTCCCTATCTCATCCTGATTTCACATAATTCCAGGATTCCGATGAGGCACTACAAATCCTCCGATAGGGGCTACACAATGATATTCATACATTTTGTTAGAGAGAGAGAGAGAGAGAGAGAGAGAGAGAGAGAGATTTAAAGCATATTTTTTCCTGTTCTTCAGTCAAGAAAATCTTCCAGAGCAGCATACAAAGATCAGTTATGAGACAATCCTTGTCCTCCGGTTTATAATCTTAAAGACATGACATGGAAAGGGATTCGAATGAGAGAGATGACACACAAACTTGGGTGTTAGACTTATTTCCTTTATCGCCTTTTGTTTTGTTTTGTTTTGTTTATTTATAGTCTGCCTGTCTGTCATATATGTATATACTTCCCACAAGAATATGAATAAATATATTTTCACGTGGGAAGTGCTGACTGTTCTTGTTCAGATGTCACTAAATGTTAATACACAAGCCAACCATAAACCAAGGCCACAATCCCATGCCCACTTACCTGTTGGTAAGTCCCATTGAATATAGTGGGATGTACTTCTGAATAAACATGTCTAGGGTTACAACTGTTATTCTCAAAAGAACTGGAAAAGATGTTATTTGAGGTCTCAAGCTGCAGATGGGGTGCAAAAGACCTTTATTCAAAATAGCTGTTGCATCATGATAAGATCACATGGAATTGTTCTCATATTGCCTTATTTATTTATTTATTACATTTATATTTATATAGTGCCCTTCCTTCCAAAGGAGTTGAGGGTGGCAAGCAATAAGTGGCAAAACAATAAAAGCATCTTTAAAACATTTTTTAAAATCTGTACAATCTCAAGGTAGCACTGGTTGTCTTTACATGCAATGCATCTTTCTTTTCCTCCTAAATATATATACATTAACTTGCCTGAAGGCTGAAATAAAATCAGTCAATAGGCATTTCCACAGTTCATAATCCTTCCCACTCCACTTAAACTTGATTCTGAAAGCAGCTCATAGCAAGCAAGAGCCAGTGTGGTGTAGTGGTTAAGAGCGGTGGACTCGTAATCTGGTGAACCGGGTTCGCATCTCCGCTCCTCCACATGCAGCTGCTGGGTGACCTTGGGCTAGTCACACTTCTCTGAAGTCTTTCAGCCTCACTCACCTCACAGGGTGTTTGTTGTGGGGGAGGAAGGGAAAAGGAGATTGTTAGCTGCTTTGAGGCTCCTTAGGGTAGTGATAAAGCAGGATATCAAATCCAGAATCCAATACCATACAGTCAAACCTCGGTTCCCGAACGGCTCCGTTTTCGAACGTTTCGGCTCCCAAACGATGAAAACCTGGAAGTAAATGCTTCAGTTTTCGAACGTTTTTCAGAACCCGAATGTCCGACATGGCGTCCGATTGACTGCAAGAAGCTCTTGCAACCAACCGGAAGCCACGCCTCAGTTGTTGAACGTTTCGGAAGTTGAACGGTCTTCCGGAACGGATTATGTTTGACAACTGATGTTTGACTGTACCTGTTAAATCAGTTCAGAATGCTGATTGGGATGGTGTGAGGGTTCGTTCTCAACTGGGCTTAGATCCAGGCACAACTGAAAGGTTAAAATATGCTCCACAGGCCCAGAATTAGGCAGGAGGTTATTTTTGTCTGCTTGGTTGCAGATATATCAGTATATCTAGAACAACTGGAATGTATTACAGCGAACTCCACAATATGCGATATTGTTTGCACAGAACATCCACATTTCTTTCCCCATCACATATTTCTCCCCATTCGCCAGCATTTTCCTTCAGGGAGCTGCCTATAAACTGTTGTTATTTCTCTTCATGCTTTGTGCTTCGCCTTTCATATTTTATTTTATTTTTTGCTTCACTTGAAGTGCTGGTTAGATGACAGTACATAATGTGGAAAATATGTCTAACTCGATTCTGTCTGTGTAATTATTGTACATTTTGCAGAGTCGAGACATTGGTAATGGTCAAGAGGAGCCATTCCAGCAGAGCTCTTTTAAAGCACGCCTCTTTAGGGTTTTCTCCTGGATAGTAGGAATGGACCAGTTTGAGCATCTTCATATAAGGCAATAAACGTATGTGCGCATATAAGCGCACTGGTGTGCTTTACATGTGTTCTCACGAAGGCGGACATGTTAGCCTTCAGTGCAGGCTAAGGGCATTTTGAGAAACGGAACTTTTGTGAAGTATTCTTTTGTATTCTATACTTGGTTTGCCTCTGCTGTAACGGGGAGGCAAAAAGAATTCATTTGCTGAGGAGATGTGCATTTGCAAAATTTGCACTTCAGTACCGACATCTCTCATAAGATCATTTTAATGCTCTGAAATCAGATCTAGAATACAAAGTATAAATAAGGAGTCTGTAGTCAAAATTTACATACAGATCTCCAATATTTAATACAGCCCCTTTCTTATTTTTCACAAAACATATTTCATATGACTGTGATACTCCTTCATATATATATATTTTTAAAAATTAATAGAATAAACATTTAGCATAGTGCTAAATATGCTGAAATGTTTGATTGAAAACCTGCACTTGAGGTTCAGCCTTCGCATCCTGCTTTCCTAATGGGAGGGTGATTTTACTGGTTTGATCCCTTTGGGCTTTCGTGTTATGCCATTTTCTCTGGTTCTCCCGTGATGCATTGGTGGGAAATAATCATTACAATGCATGCTGTGCTTCTAATCTTTTCTGTTGCTGCTGCCAGTTACTGCCTCTGACGATTAGAACAAAACAAACTCGTGTAGTGCTCTGGTGGGAAGCCAAAGAGGAGGCTGATGCGAACTAATTGTGAACACTGACGGGTAGAAACAAACATTCATTTGGGAGCCTGTGTGTGTGTGTGTGCTGCTTGCTCGCACGACATTTCAATTTGTCTGCTGTGTGTGTGTGCTGTGGGAGTGCACCTCAAGGACTTGCTAAAGATTGCATGGTTAGAGAACTCCAGAGTTCACCAATTTGGGGTCAGACATATTACAAGCCCGCTTACTTGATCAAATATCTGCATTAGAATATATATCTCTTCAAGGTTAGATTTCACAAAGACGCATTTTAAAGAGCAAGGCTCGTAGCTCATTATTACAGGTGCCTAAAGGCATTCCTGAAGAATAATCGTATGAATGATTATCTGAACAACTGGCACCGGTGTGTGAAGGGTTGTGGCAGGATGGCAGCAGTAGCCTTCTGGTGACACAGTGTGCCAGGACAGGAATGGAGCGCACACAATTGCAGAACACCTTCGCCCAGCCCAAAGCCCAGCCCAAAGCTCCCTCAATGTCATGGACTTGATGGACGCAGAGGAATGGTGGGAGGAACCTGCTGGAGAACCCCCAAGGGAAGAAGGTTCAGAACCTGGGTATGAGTGGTGGGACAACAAAGAGGGAGAAGACTGGAGGGAGGAGGTGTTGGAAGCTGAAGTGGTAACAGGGCTTAGTGAGCAGGGAGAGTCTGTGGCAGAGAGAAGTCCAGAACAAGAGGCAGAAGCTGAAACAGGAGAGGAGGGAGGCCAAGAGGCAGAGATGAGTCTGGCTGGTGAAGAGGCATGGGTGTCTCCTCTTCCTTCTGCAACAAGCTCCTTTCCCCTCTGGTCTCCCAGAACTAGGAGAGGCATGAAGTAGGAGGAGCATAGAATGGCCTACAGGCACAATCTCTGATTGCTTGGGAAACACCCTGGAGAGGAGGAAACAGCCGGCTGTCAGGAGGCAATGACCTTGGCAACTGCTTCATGGGGGCAAGACTTGAGTTGCTGTGCTCATTAGGCCTGACACTTCTGTCCAGATTCTGTTTTACTAATAGAGAGTTAACTCCAGCTTACTCGGTGTGATTAACTGCTGGGCTGCTCCTGTCACTCAACTTTACTGCCATCCCATCCAAATGTTGTAATCTGCCCTGGGACGTTCGGGTGATGAGCAGGAAATAAATAAATAAGTAGGTCTTATTCAAGCGCTGGAGACCCAGCTGAAATCAGAGAAAGTCATACAAAAGTCCTGTTGAAATTAATGGGACATAAATTGGTCACAATTAACTTACCATGTTGACTGCAAGGGGACTTAAGCACCTTGACAAATGTATGCCCTGTATCTTCTGTCTAGAACATCCATTTTTTTGCCATCAACCTTTTCTGGTTAAGAACTAAACCACAGGCTTATTTTGAATGCCACAATTTGCTATTGAGTACTTGGTTGTAAAAGCAAAATACCATGCAAGTCTGTGACTGTGGGCCTCAGATAATTTGTCAGTATAGTTAGACTTAAGTTTCTGTTTACAGAAGACCATACTTTGTGTTTTATATACAAACATGTATTTTTAAATGTTTGCTAATGTGCACAAACAATGGAGAAATAAAATCAGCCTGTTGAAAGAAGCAGAGTGAAGATCAGATCAAATAAAGGGGGCGTCTCACTGATTGAAAAAGAAGAAGCATTGTTAATGTGTACTGTCAATGAGCAAATGTCATTTTCATGCTAACATTTTGCTGCTTCATTCTGTGCCATGTGTCGCTCTGGGAGTAATTAATACTTTTTTAAAGTGAAAATGAAGGAAGAAATAAACGCAGCATTAAAATTGTATTAACAATGAAACACAATATGATCCGCTATCAGACACTGTCTAATTTGTTGCCTGGAATTTAAATCCTAATTATTATAAGATCCTTATAGAATTACACCTAAGTTACCCAATACTCACATTGCTAAGCAATGGCAAATAAAGTAAATGTAGAAACAAGGTGAAACTAAATGTTATAATAAAAGAGAAACATTAGGTCCTCAGTCCCATATTTTCCTTGTAATGAACATACAGGTGGAGGACCTCTGGCCTACTCTGTGGTCCAGCATGACAAAACCCAGTTGGGGTGGAAGGTGGATACAAAACACTGGAAAACAAAGATCTCTGATGTTGTTCCAGCAAGGAACAAGCTGAAACTGAGTCTTATACAGTTGCAGTAACAGCAGGTGCAGCCTGGAAGGAGCACCTGTTCTACAAGATGCTATTTGACCCAAATGGCATCAGCCTTCTCCTGTAATCTCCTACTTTTCTGGAGTAGAGGACCCTCTGGGAGCCTTCCAGTGGAGTTCTCTGAGTCAGAAGATGGCAGTGCCCAGAGCCAGCCCACCCCAGAGGCAAGGTGAGGCGATGGCCTTGGGTGGCAGGATCCACAGGGCAGCAGATCCTGATGTAGTTCTTTATCTCCCCCCCCCCCCGCTTGTTCCTGATGTAGAATTTAACTCTCCCCTTCTTCCCAGGCAAAAAGTGGGGGAGCCATTTTGTTGTTTGCCAAAATGTCTTCTGCCGGCCCTGGCAGTGCCACATCCTTGGGCCAGGGGGAGGGGGCTCTGCTGCCCCCCAGGTTCATCTGATAGCAGTACTTCTGGGGCTCTGCCCCTCAGGTTCCGAGTCCTTGCCTCCATCACCTAATGAAGAGAAAGAAGCCTCACTCTGGGCCCCTGACAATTTCCAAGCGAGAACTGTCGGATACGAAAGTAGTGTTTAACCCAGGCATAGGCAAACTCGGCCCTCCAGATGTTTTGGGACTACAATTCCCATTATCCCTGACCACTGGTCCTGTTAGCTAGGGATGATGGGAGTTGTAGTCCCAAAACATCTGGAGGGCTGAGTTTGCCTATGCCTGGCTTAACCCTTCTCCTACCTGCTGATTCACCCTGCAAAAAGAGACCCAGGCTGTTTTTCATATTTTTTTTACCTCAAGTGGCCTGCAAAACTGGAAGTCAGTCAGAACAGAGGAAAATCAACTGGGGAGGGTTGGGAGTTTCAAGAGAGAATTGGCAAGTGTGTTATATATGTTGTGGCGGCAGTGGGTTAAGTACAGCACACTCCTTTGGAATGTTCGTTCTTCCTTCAAATGTCCCCTCAGCCTCCCCACATTCACATTGCGTTGACAATGCCCTAAAACGGGTGGAGTCTTTTTTTCCTTTTTCAATTTTTTTAATTAATTTTCCAAAGAATTTTTTAAACAGACAAACAAATAAACAAACAAACAAACATAAATCATTACCTTAGTTAAACCAATCTTAGTATCATTTTTAAGTGACTTCCTTGTGTCCCCCTGGTTGAATTTCAGTGCGTATCTTTTTTAACGGTTTTCCAAAACCAATATTCTCTTAAAATTAACTTAATCACTTAACCTCTTTCTTTCTATCCAATTCTGCATTTAAACATATCAATTCATCACATTACATATTTAAATCCTAAGCCTATCTGATATTTGCAAGCTTTCCAATTTAAATTATCTTAACATATTTAGCTAAATAGTCTTTAAATTTCCTCCATTCCTCCTGGTAGTCCTCCTCCTTCTGGTCGTGGACTCTTCCAGTCAGGTCGGCTAGCTTTGAAAAGTCCATCATCTTCATCTGCCAATCTTCCAGTGTTGGTATTTCTTGTGTTTTCCAGTTCTTTGCTAACAAAATGCTTGCTGCAGTTGTGGCATACAAAAATAATTTAACATCTTTTGGGGGCAATTCCAAACCTGTTATTCCAAGAAGAAAGGCCTCTGGTTTCTTAATAAATGTATATTTCAACATTTTTTTCAGTTCGCTATAATAAAATGGGTGGAGTCCTGTGAAACATTTTGGACTTCTTGCAGGAATGTGTTTGCACCACCGCAGCGCAACAAAACTCCGAAAGCATGTGACTGTTCCCAAAGTGGTAGGGTAGGAAATGCCCTGCCTTATTTCTTTCCCCAAACGCCAAGCGAAGAGGGGGTGTGGCTTAGATAAAGTAAGAGGGGTGAGGTTTAAGCGCACAGTCTATTCTAAGCCCCGGCATCCTTTAAAATTTCACAGGGGGCTCTTGATTTAAGTGGTACCAATGGAAGGGATGGCAGGGTAAATTAAACCCACGCTAAAAGAGTAATAAATCAACAAACGGCAGGCACAAACACACGCTGCCAGCACACACACACACACACGACTTAAAATTAGAGAGGAACAGGCAAGCGCAATGGAGGGGAAAAACGTACAAGCACCCTGGCCAACAAATTAAAATGTAAGGCAAACCCACTCAGTCACCCAGACCAGCCAGGCAATTGGACGGGCAAGGGCAATAGAGGGAAAAAACATACAGGCACCCTGGCCAAACTTAAAATAAAACGCACAGCCACCAAGGCAGAGGCAGGGGAAGGAAAGTGAGGAGACAAGGGAGATAGAAAGACGGCACTCACGCTCAGACCTCGCTGGGAGTGGAGAGACCACGTGCTGGGCAAGGGAACAAGCTGCAGCTTAAGAAAGGTAATTCGCACTTAGACCGCCCAAACAAATCCAGCACCAGGAGTGGGGGAAAATAAAAGGTTAAATGTGGGTTTTTACACAGAAAAGAGGACACAGCAAGACAGCAAGGCAAACTTGGGTGCCTAGGTTTTTAAAAGCAGTAAAGCAATGAGCGCACGCAAGCCTCCTAAATTTAAAAAGGCAAGCCAGGAACCAGACAGCCTCCACACACACAAACACCCCCGACTCCAAACCTCGTGGTTGAGCTCTTCCCTGCGATGACTCCTGACTCAAAGAAAATGTGTGTGCAAAGGTGGGGATGGCTTGCGCGGCTGCGTTTGAGCTGCAAGCCACGCCCCTGCCGAGCTTCCCTATTGGGTGCCCAACCGGGGAGGGGCGTGGCACACCAGCCCTGGAGTTGAAGCAGGGGGCAGAGCGCCCCCTGCATGACGCAGGAAGCGTCTCCCGATCACAACCCCTTCCCTTCCTGGGAGGAGGAAAGGCTTTGTGAAACATTTTAGACTTCTTGCAGGAATGTGTGTTTGCACCACCGCAGCGCAACAAAACTCCGAAAGCATGCGACTGTTCCCAAAGTGGTAGGGTAGGAAATGCACATTGTTGTTTTGTCAGTTACTGTATAGACTTTTAACTGTTTTCTTCTCTCTCTCTCTCTGTCTCCCCCAACCCTACGCCTTTTTTACATTTTTGTAGAACCACATCACGGCCTTTGCAGAAGTCACATGATGTTGAGACGGATGTCTATTCGCTGCACTGGACGTCATCCCTTTTCACAGTTCACTCATAATAACTGACATGTTTTCCAGCAGAGGAGAAAAATAAAACTTTTGTCTGGTTTTATGACCTGATTAGCAGCATTAAGATTTACATCAGCCTATGAAGAACATGCCAGAAATGTCAAAAGTTAGGAATATTTTCCAACAAAAAGCATTGCACCATTTAGGGGATGAGGGTTTTGGGGTGGGGATGTATTGGGAAAGCATGAATCTGTTCACATCACATAAATATATCATTTCCCATCTCTGGCTGCCCCCCCACCCCCACCTAGCCATGTAAGTATCCGACAGAACATTATTATGTCTGATTTTTCATTGTTACTTATTTTTACATTTTAGCATGACACTTGTTCCCATTCAAACAGATTTCAGTGTATACACTTCTTTTTCTTTTCTTTTTTCATTTCTGAAAATCCCATACTCAAATGCTGTTTGCACTTCGTATTATGCCGTGTTTCACATACACATTTATATCTTAAGACTGGTGCTTCTGCTTTTGAAGAAACAACAACCCGCCAATTTTTACTGTAATAAGTATATTGTATCATAATTTTAAAAGAAATTATTTATTTGGATATTTTCCTGACTTCATGTGGTTGAATAGTTGATTTTGTAGTTCTTGAATGTCTACAATGTACCCTGTAGTTAGGATTAGAAGTGAGAACACTTAGGCATTGGGATATCCTATTATTTTAGCGATTAACAATCTCATACTGAAGGTTAATGGCTCTGTTCTGAGGTCCAGCATATTCTCCCCACCCGCCATTCGTAACATAAAAGTAAAATGATTGCTTTCATTGATAGTACTTGAAGGTTAATGTGACATAGCTAGCAACCTGTTTCCAAAAGTCATCTCAAAACCTTTGATTCTGGCATGAAGAAGGAGCAATATATAAGATGCGCTTGGCTCTCAGCCTGAGGGGTCCTCACATCCTTCTCCCTTGTTCTGATGATGATGGTGATCTTTGTTATTATTATTTTAATTTATCACCTACTCTTCACCACAAGGTTCCAAGGTGGGTTGCAACAATTTAAAATATTATATTACAACATACTTTAAAAATAAATTACAGTCACAAGAATAGTAGGGGTCCTAAAATATATGTTGTAGCTGTGTAAGGCTAGGGTTAAGAGTTGCTTCTTCCTTGTTTGGTGGAAACTACACAATGAAGGTGTTGGACACACTTCTGTGGGAGGGAATTCACTACCATAGAGAATACCCTCTCCTGGGCTGACATGCCCCCAAACCTCGGAGGGTGGTGGAACCATCAAGAGGTTGCCTTCTGCTGATCTGAGATCTGTCCCCATCCTTTGTGTGAAGCAGTGGTGAATGGTGGGTGCTCCAGTGCTAGAAAGTGAAGCTTTATAGGGTAAGGAGAATGTTGGCCAACATGGAGTAGCCAATAGAGGAGGCCAGAGTTCTTCCCCGTGGCACATTATTGCTGTAGCAATGGGTTTCCCTATTCCTTTTACAAGTATGTGGACTTAAGATGCCCAGCTCTGCTTCACTGATATCAGTTTCAGCACATTCCTCTCTTCTGCAGCAGCTATGGCTAGGTGTATGATCAAGAATAAATCGCTGACAACTTAATGATACAGTCCTTCACACCCTAACAGTACCAGATCAATGTGAATGGTTTGTAAGGATCCTGTAGTCATTTCAATACCTAATATAACCATGTTCTATCGCAGTTCTCTGCTATTTCTCCTGGAACTGGATTCACCATCTCTTATGACTTTCTCCCGACTCCTCTCTTCCCCTTTCTTCTCCAAAAAGTGGAAGCACCGCTGCTATGGTTCACCTTAAGTCATGTTGTAGCCCTGTTGCAGGTGTTCTGGAGCACTAACTCCCATTTTTACTGAGGTTTAAAATCTGGATTTGGTCACTTCGGGTCCCATCTCTAAGTCACCAATGCCAAACCCCTTGTTGATTTGTTGACTCCAACCCACAGTGTGAAGATCACCGCTCCCTACTGCTTAAGGCACTCTTGAAAATGGGATTCGGGCTTCCAAATAAAGGGTCTTTTCACATTGCCTTTCAAACACCATAACAACCAAAGTAAAATGGGGCTATATCACAGCCTTTCTATGCCAGGAGGCTTCACGTTTCAATTTCTTTAGTCTGGGAGGCAGTAGGGGGTGGGTGCTTTTTTCCCCTTTTAAAGGACTCGTGAAAAAATGGTCTTGAAAATGGTAAGAAGTTTAACCAAAGTACTATCATCCTTCCAATTATTTATTGTATAGCTCAGGAATTTTTTCAGTTACGCCAGGAAAGTATGTGAGAATACACAAGAGAAGGCCTAGTGAACAATTTTGCACGTGTTCCTAATTTTCAAAATCACAAAGGAACATAAAATCCAAAACATCTTCACACCTTGTGAACAACAACAAAAGTATTTTGGCTTCCGGGTCAGTGCCATTGGTGAATGGCGGAGTTCCTCCGACCGGAGGAACGGGCTCCGTGGAAACTGGGTCTTCCCGCCGCGGTGAAGGTGGGGACCCGCTAGAAATCCCAGGTGGAGGAAGCCTGGGAACGTGGGGTTTGGCAGGGCACCAGAAGCGCCCCCCTACTCGCGGGGAATCCCATCTAGGGGCTCCGGAGCGAAGTGGGGTGAGAAGCGCGGTGCTACGAACTGACTGCTACTTTCACGGAGTGAAGCCACACAGCCATTGCTTGAGATCTAATTTACTCTGGCAACCTACAGACATAGTTTCACATTTCCTCCCCGGTGTGTCAACATGAGCTAGGCCTTTCTACAACAGACTTTGCACACAATCCAACTTATGCACCTTTATATTCCCTTGATTTCACTGAGAAAGTTAGGCATGCACTTAATTTCCTCCATTTGAAATCAGAGGGAGGAAAAATATGCTGCCCTTTGCCCTGATTAGCTCCCTTCCCTTTCCATTAATTGCTTTGAGCAAACATACTGAGACTTCCCTAGTAAAAAGGTAACCCAGCTCTTTGCTCCTGCTAAAGTGAAATTTGTACAGGGCAAATGTCCAAGGAAAATTGTCCCTTGAGCCATGCTTTACCCATATACTTAATGTTTTGCTCTGTCTGGCAGCAGATGAAACTGCAACATAAATTCTATGTGGCTCGTGTACACTTGCCAAATTTTTAATCAAATGATGTGGTGCTCCGTGCCATCCACAATTATTCTCATGGGCATTTTATTATCTTCATTCAACATGGCAAATTAAACTCTGTTCTCATCAACAGAAGATCCGAATTCTACGATCATCAGAATTACATGACTTTAGCCTTTTCTAGAGTTTGCTACTTCAGACTGAGGGTTATGGGGTGGGGGGAATCACGTTGTTCAATACACCCTCTTGTTAAAATCCTCCTAAATTTTCTCAGACTAGCATGCCATGAAGGTTGCAACATAATCTTCAACATGTTACCTTCCTGTGTGCAGGAAAGTTAATTGTTGTCAATGTTTCCTTATGTGATCTCCCCCTTGCAGTCTGAAGTGATGCAGTCTGAACGAGCTTGTACCATGTGATTCTGCTAATCGTGTAGCTTGACTCACGATATTTCTTTCAGAGATAGATCAAATGCACTCTTGTATCCAGCCTGCACGATGGATGGTGATGACCATGTAACTTCAATAGCCAATTTCCAGCTCTTGGTCTAGGAAGGAGGGGACATGTCTTCTCTAGGGATGGATCCAGTTGTGTGATTTTGGATCAGAGGCAGTTGGCATACAAGTGTTTCCCAAAGATTATGTGATACTGTGTGGATCTTTTTAAAAAGAAGGGGGTAAAGTGCTCACTAGAAGCAAAGAATTGAGCCCTTAACTATAAGTCTAATGTGTGTTAAGAGCATCATTTCTTAAAGGATCAATTACGTTTGATAAATCATAGCATATCCCATATGCTCCCCTTGCTTGTTTCATTTCTTGGTCTAGCTGTTTAGGACCCTCCTTATGTACAATTGTTCACAACGAGGATTTCAGGGAAATCCTCGCTTGGTCAGTGCAGTACATCAATTCTGCAGATTTTATATCTGATTCTTAAGTTCAGGAAGAGACTCTTTTATGTTAAAAGAAAGACTATTCTTTTTCAGCATATTGTCTTATGTAAATCAGCATGTAACTGAGTCTGTCTCTCAGGATTTATAAGAGCCTAGTATTTGGGTTAAACTGATCATGTTATCTTTGTGAATCAGCAGTAACAGGGTGGGGAAGAGACACACTGCTGTGTACTGTATTTTTAAATAAAGTAATTTTTTTCAAGCATACGTTGCAAGTTTCTTTCTTAGAGAAAGTCCCCTTGAGGGACTCAAAATGTTGTCAGGCTGCTTGTTTGTAAGATGTGATGAATAAATGAGGTACTGGCATTTACAATGGGAAAAAACAATTGTGCGGGGGAACGAGCTTCAGTGGTAAGAAAGAAGGCTCCATATTTGTCTGGTGGACTCTGTATACATCTGATGGGCTGCGTTGAGCTTGAGTCAAGTAGGAAGGCCTATTCGTGGCAGTTCTCTGCCTCTACTCTGCCCCAAAGCTCACAGGTAGGTAGCTGTGTTGGTCTGAAGCAGTCAAGATAGATAGATAGATAGATAGATAGATAGATAGATAGATAGATAGATTAATTAAAAAATTGCCCAGTAGCACCTTAGAGACCAATTAAGTTTGTTCTGGGTATAAGCTTTTGTGTGCATGCACACGAAAGCTTATACCCAGAACAAACGTAGTTGGTCTCTAAGGTGCTACTGGGCAATTTTTTGAGTTCTTCCATGCACAGCATTTGAAATGTGAATTTGTGACAAGGCATATGGGGATACCAGCTGGGTGCACATCCATACTGATGTCCGTAGATGTATTTTCTGGCATTTCTGCAATTATGAAATGCAGAAGGCATATGGAGGCAGCAGCTGGGCTTGCAACTCTCTTCAGCTTTTACAAAAGTTCCTTCTAGAAATATATATTAAAAAAGGTGGGGATAATGTCACTCCCCACCCCCACCCCCGACTGCAAATTTCATGGCTATTTGCAGTTTCATTCTCACTCTAATGTGCTTTACAGAGAACCACTTCATGGCCATTTTCAAGTCATTTCCTGCATTTGTAACGACAGGGAGCTTTGCAAATTACTTAACAGTATTATGCATATGTGTCTGTATATTCCCTCCTCCTTCACCACCAAATCCTCCTATATACTGTGCTGAATGCAGGTGTGACTATAAGTGCTCTCCTGCGTTAGCATAATATATTCAGTAAAAAAAAAACAAATGGGGCGAAAGATGATTGAGCATCTGGTGTGGAGGAAAAGGCAATGCAAGAAAGAAGAGGTAGATAAAAATCCAAAGCTGCAGAGCAGAGATGCAGAAATTTACATTAATTTCTCCAAGTGGCACAAAGTCACAACGGTGTTGCTTTGCAAATTGGTGTATCTACGGTCGCCATATATACTGGAAAATTCTGGTAGTGTCCAGAGGCTAACATGGCTGCCTGAAGGGGATTTTAAATTTAAGATGAAATGTCTGGGATTTTGTCTGTTCCCCAGTGGAAGCGCAAGCTCTGTGGAGAGGTTGCTTCCTTGTTGCCTCCCAGATGGTGATTTCGGAAGGTTACTCGCTGCCCTGCTGCCAGCAGCTGCCAATCTCTGAAAAAAAAGCTCGGCAACTGTGTCTGTTCTTACTTCTTGAAATATGGGAACCCTAGCAAATATGGCTGCCTTCTCTTTCTCGTAATACTGTGCAGAGCAGTTTGCAGCAAGTTCAGAAGACAAATTAGAGAAGGTATCAAGTGTTTAAGAGACATCTTAATGAAACCTCTCAGGAGGTCCACAGCCAGGCATCTAGTCCTGTTCGACTGCAAAATGGCAGGATGTGTTAGCTCTTGACACTGGTCTGTGGATGGTGGTGCCAGCTGGGAGTTGTTACCTTCTTTGAATGACTAGTTCTTTTCCCTCAAAAAACTGAGGCATGTGAGCTTGCTGAGACCTTGCCATGCATTAATATTTGAGGAGATTTCCAGGCTCCTTGCCAGAGCCACACTGGCAGCCATAACAGATATTGGTGCATTGTTGTCATAATGCACTTGGTGTTCTAATCCTTTCAGGGACCAGTGACAACAATTCTGGAAACTACATAAGCACACACACAGGTTATAGGCACACACTTTGAGAGTAACTGTTGTCTTGAGGATTGGTTTCTTCTCATTTTGGCCTGCAGGCCTTGGAGATATGCTGATCTCATTCTAGAAGCTGGGCTTTTAGTGTTGCAGCTGCAGCCCTCTGAAATCAATTTACAGCTGAAATCAGAAAGTTGCCTAGCATCATTATGTTGCGGGGCGGGACTGTTGAAGACATTTTTTGTTTAAGAAGGTTCTCCCTGAAGTGTGACCCCCATCATATAAGGAATACAGTGGTACCTCGGGTTACATGCGCTTCAGGTTACATACGCTTCAGGTTACAGACTCCGCTAACCCAGAAATAGTGCTTCAGGTTAAGAACTTGGCTTCAGGATGAGAACAGAAATCGTGCTCCGGTGGCGCGGTGGCAGCAGGAGGCCCCATTAGCTAAAGTGGTGCTTCAGGTTAAGAACAGTTTCAGGTTAAGTACGGACCTCCGGAATGAATTAAGTACTTAACCTGAGGTACCACTGTATTGATTGTCTAATTTTAGAAATGGTTTTATTATTTTTAGAATCTGTATTTCATCTTATTGCACACCACAGATTGCTTTGACTGCGAAGTGGTTTAATAATATTTGAAATAAGAGTAATATGAATGGGGAGAAACCTGGCATCCAACTTTCTTCACCTCTCTTCCATACCTGGAGGGGCTGCCTTTAGTGAGGTAGGTGTGCACTTCAAACTATACTTAACGTATATAACATATATAAAGGGCTGTCTAGTTTCAAAATAAAGAACTGTAAGAAGGGAGTTGTCCACCAACCATCAGCATCTAGATAACAGACTGTGCAGGCAAACAGATCTCATGATTTCAGTCTCCCCACCCACAAGATGAAATGTGTTTCTATTTAAATTACAGTAATTATTTCTAAATTTGCATCTGTACATATACATTGGTAGCATTATTATCAATTTATGATGGTTCGCAGGCTATGAAGGACTTGCTCACAAATTTATTGACAGCTGCACGAGTTGCTATAGCTAGGAAGTGGAAGGGGAAAGGTGACTATAAAATTGAAGAATGGTATAAAGAGGTGTGGGATATAGCTATTAATGATAAATTAACATGTGCTATTAAGGTAAGACGGGGAATATGTGGGAGAAATGATTTTGAGGAGATATGGAAGGTGCTTGTATAATTTGTACTCTTAAAATGGAAAAGGGTCACACCATTGCAAGAGGTGTTGAAATTTTGGGAGTTGGATAGTTACAATGGAATGGTCTTGCAGGTAGGATGCACATTTTTATTCTTATTAGTTATGATTACTTTGTCAAAATAAAAATAAAAATATAAAAATATACATATAAATTTACTATGATGAAATGTACAGTTGTATCTTGGAAGTCAGACAGAATCCATTCTGGAAGTCCATTCGACTTCCAAAGTGCGGCTTCTGATTGGCTGCAGGAAGCTCCTGCAGCCAATCGGAAGCCCCGGAAGCTCCGTCAGACGTTCGGCTTCAGAAAGAATGTTCGAAAACCAAAACACTCACTTCTGGGTTTTGAACGTTCAGGAGCCAAAACGTTCGACTCTCAAGGTGTCCAGGAGCCAAGGTACGACTGTATTGCATTTCTATTTAAATAATAATAACATAATAATTTCTAATTTTGTATTTATACATATTCATTGACATATGCAATTTTTATGAAAACCTGACATTTTGGGGGTGGGGAACGATACATAAATGGCCACCCTACCAACCAGGGGAGGGGAACTGGAGTCCAAATCCAGCCTTTCCTCTTGCTCTGTTAACAGCTGATTGGTTGGATTTCACCTTTTCCTTCAAAAGGCTGAGCTCCTGAACAGGCTGAAAAATTGTTTGCACAACCCCCATTGGTTCATGTGATTCCCCATTCACACAATGAAGCATACACTGAAGCCTGCTTTTCTGACCTTACAGCTCCCAGCTACAGTTAAATGGCAAGCAATAACAAATGTAATTGTATGTAATTGTAAATGTAACAAATGTAATTTTTTATAAAATGCTTTGTCATTATTGTTTTCGATAGACTGCAGAAAACAGGGAAGAATAGCCTTTTGAGCCATGCTGTGAATCTCTCTTTGTGTCCCTCCCTCCTGGAAACTGAAATAGTGCTCTAAAATTGTACTATAAATATCATAATCATATCCATTTGGATCAGAACTCAATATTCAGCTAGCACCGAGTCACAGTTGGTCTGCTTGTAAGCAGTAAAGACACCAGTCAGTAAAGAGAGCGAATGCATGATCTGAAAGTCAGATTGTTCCTGTTTTCACAATAATTTGCTCACAGGGGATAACAGACAAAATACTCTGAGGAGAATGCAGGATTTTAAACAGAAAGGCCATCAAGCAAGTCTAAGGAAATATTGATTGTAGCTACAATTTAAAAATCTATAGGTCCCCTCCCCCAAAAAATTATATTGACCTCAGCCACCTGAAATAATTTCACACATTTCCCTTTATCTAAAGTTTTTCTTAACTCCCCATCCCCTTGTTACATACCATCCCAGTCTCCAAGCAGGGGTATCAGGCACACTTACCGGAGTCTGTGCTTCCTTGCGGACAATGAGGCACAGCAGAGACTGTGGTGTCTTTATGATATATGGTTTATTTGCACATATATACAACCTGAGCCTGGATGGCAAGAGTGCAGAGCATTCACATCCCAAGAGGGTCCTGTTCCTTCCATTGCTGCAGCCTCAGATTCCAAGAGACCCCAGACATTGTGTCTGGCCCTCTCCCCAGCATAAAACAGACAGCCCTGCCTCAAGCTTGCAAAACTGACACATTTTCCCATGTTCTCTTACACCAGCACCCACTGCAAACCTGGATTTTCCCCCTCACTCCATTCTGGCATCATCTTCTGTTAATTTCCTAGAGCATGGGGTGGGTCACATAGTCTTAGACTTGCTGATGGCTTCTTTCTCTGTCTTTTCTTAGGGCAATGACTCGGCAATTCCAATGATTTCCTCTTGATCATTCCTCTTGATGGCGCCTATGCCAGGCAGTTTCCTGGGCAAGGAAAGCTGAATCCAGCTATTTAAAGTCTAACTTTCAGTTTAACCCACCAAGCAATAGATTCATTCTAACATTTATTAGACCCAGGAATTTAGGAGAATCTGCCCTGCCCCATAATCACACATATATACACACAAAGAGAATGATATATATATATATATATATATATATATATATATATATATATAATGGGGCTGAAAATAGGGCAAAATGTAATGATGTAAAATTAGCTATCTGTAATAGGAAGGGAAACTCAAACTATTTTTTTCTAGTTTATAAAATTATAAAGAAGAATAGATAGGCATGTGTAGCTACCACTCATTTATTAATTCTTTCCTGCTTTTTCATTCCTGGACAGAAAATAAGTGCCTTCTTTTATTATGGACAAGATATAAAAAGCTTTCACCTCTGGGCTAAAAACAACTAGACCAGCAAGAATTTGATTAAACTGAGTACTATAAATGCTGATTACAAGTGAGGTTTTTTTATTAGCTGCGCTGGCAATAAAAAAATATCTACCAGTTCTATTACTGCTATTCTTCTGTGATGAGATTTCATCTTTCAACGTAAT